CAAAGCAACCCATAGGAGTCTACATGCAAATTAGTCACCAAGCTGGACTGCTGAGCTAATGGTAAAGTGAGCTGTGGCAGCAGCTTGTGGAATTCAGATAGACTTGACAATACAGGAAAGCACAGATATCTTCATAATTTATTTCATCACACACACAGGTGAAAAAAGGTGTAAGAAAATCACACCATCAGCCCATAACAGTGGTATACCTGGTCAAGAGCTCTACCTGGTATTCTGCAGAAACAGAGCTGCCTTTCAGTTACAGCTGTTTGTCACTGTGTTGAACAAAAGGCATTTGTGTATTTTGGAACCAATCTGTTGTTTTGTGAAAAAAAGCCACAGATAATTTTCCTGCATCTTCACTATTTCAATCAGAACCTAAGAGTCCATTCAGCCTCTCAAGCTTGTTTAGTTGTTGTAGTACTTAATTGATTTGAGGATCTTGAAAGAACCCACAGCTTCAGATTCAACAACAGAGATACTATAGCTTGTTCCAAATACCCACAAGCGTTTGTGTGAACAAAATGAAACCAAAATGTTGTTAGAACAGAGCAGGAAGGGGAAATTAAAAGATACTGTATTTTTCCAGTTTAATGAAAACAGAAACATGGCAGTTCTGTGTGGCATTTCAACAATAAAATAAGCCAATGTTCTTTTTGAAAAATCTTACACTTACACAGAGTGTCACTATGAAAGCGTTTCAAATGATGTTTACAGGATTTAGGAAAACTTTAGAATGGATCAATATTAAAACTAATTGATAATATAGAGAAGATATTTTCTACTGTTAGCCAGGTCAATAATGGTTAGACTGTAATGAACAACTCTTATTACTGAAAGATAAGGAAAGTTTATATGATAATGAAGATTGATAATAGGCTTATCCCATAATGTAATCTACTGAGATCCAGTAGCATGGTCTGTCCTGCTCCCCATAAAGATTCCAAGTTATTTGTTGAGCACAAGTCATTGGCTTTTGTAATTATAAGAAGCAAAGAAATGATCAATTTGTAGTTAAAAAAACAGACCAACAAAATCAAGTTAGAAGATGTGCTAAATCCCCTTTTTCCTGACAATAACCTAAAAATAATTAAGAACTCCTGTAATTGAACAGTGCTTTTCATCCCAAAGGGTTTTAAAGCACTTTAGATGCAAAACCTACAGATGGTAAGTTTTTCAGTAACCCCCAGCAGGACTGTCGTTTATATCCCATCCAAGCAGCGAACATGCAGAGGTTCAGTAACGCATGTGGCTCACAGTGATGCAGGCACAGAGCTGTATCAGCAGCCAGCTTTTCTCATTCTCTGCTGGAGCTACTCGATCAGTAGCAGAGAGGAGGACTGGAGATTGTGAGAGGTGTCTGAATGTATTTGGGCTGCTTGTTTTCTGCTGCCTTCACTGTTTGTTCAGTCTGAGAGAATGGCTGTCGTTGTGCCCAGTCGGTCATTAGCATGGAATTGCAGTAACATTAATCAGAGCAGTGTTTTGAGGTAAAAGTCCCATTACCACCAACTCAATTTTCTTTGCCAAGAAAATGGCTATAAACAAAAATAAAAACCTCAGGATGTTCTGCGAAGGCTGTCCTTCTCTGCCCATGATTCATTATGCTCTCTAAATGCTTATTTCTGATGCACAGCTCCACTGGCTCTTTCAAAGATATCACATCACATACATGGCAATTCTTTTTCCATTTAGCATTGGAACTGCTTTGAAAGTGAAACATTTCTCTTAAACTGTGTCCTCACAGCATTCCTGCTGATTCTGCAAGATCTAATCTGCAGATTAGAGAGCTTGTACTTTCAGGTTTCGGATTGGGAAGGTGGTTTCCATGCAGTTTTGTCGGGGCCATTCATCAAAAGGTGTGATATGTCTTTTTGGGAAAAAAAGAGTTTACTTTCTATTTGTTAACTGTATCTCTGTAATGGAACACTTGCTGAAGTCAGATGGGAAATGGTTCAATTTCCAGCACTGTCCTGTTCAAATACTGACTGAAGCTTTAAATCTGTCTGTGTGCTTGACACAAGCATCTTACAAGAGTCTCTCAGTCACTGAGAGACTGGGAGGGATGCTTCAGTTGAAACTTAGTGTTAGTGGCTGTATAATTTAGACACCTCCTAGACCCATCCACATAGAAAATAGAGCAAATTCAGGCAGCATGTGTGGTCCATCTAACAGATGACAGGCCATTGCATTTAAAAGAGTTTAAAGTGGGTGGAAACTTATTTTAGGGAATATGAAAAACCTCAGATCCTGAAAAATGCCAAAGATCAGTAGGGGAGGTTTTCAGTTGTGTCAGAATTGAATTTGTTTCTGTCATCAGAGGAAATAATGTTTTTGGCAAAGCTCTGTGAAGATGAATCCACTCATATCTTCTTAGATAGCACACTGTAGTTACTGCCTTTTGTGGAAGTTCTAGCCATCGTACTTGAAAAACTGGGTCACAAAAACAGGATGGAGAAGACATGAACATTTTTGGGGTTGTTTGGTTGATCAGAGGTAAGATATTGGTATAACTAAATAAAAGGAGCTTGTAGAGATAGGCTCTGGCTCCCCCACAACCCATATTGGATAAAGTGGTTAGAAAATAGATGGGTAGTTGGATGAATGGGTGGAATAGAAGCAAAGGTTTCAAAGAGAAAAGGCCTATATCTCTTTCAGCTGTAAAATCAGTTGTTGATAGCTTTTTGGTATCAACAAGAACTACACGATTTTGAAGCATCTCAGGACAGTATGGCTTGAAAGTTTAATCCCTACACCCACAAGATGTCATGTCATGTATTCATATGTATGCCAGAGGTTCAAGAGGCAAAAGGGATTTCTGTAAAGATCAAAGCTTGGAAGAGACTCAACAAATGGAAGGGCTGTCTTCCTTAAAAAAGGGCGGCTCCTGATGCCCAAAAAATAAATGAGCTGCACAACACTGGGGGGAGGAAAAACCTAACTTAACTAAAAGGAAACCTCTGGGAGTCAACGGCTGAGAGCTACCCCCTCCTCCGGGGTAAAAACCTTTATTGAGTAGGGGGTGGGGGGGTGGGGGGGCTGGGTAGGGCTCCAGGGGAATGAAACAAAAAAACAGACACAACACGTAAAAAAGCACGCACAACAAAAAATAAACCCTGAAGGAACAGGGGAACAAACAACACAGATTTTTTTTTTTAAATGACACAAAAAATAGGGAGAACAGGTGACATGGAAGCCCAGACCAGAGAGACCAGCAGGCATGGCAGCCCGGGACAGGGAAACTGCAGGTGTTGCGGCCCTTGTGCTGCACAGCACTGGGGGGAGGAAAACCCCCATTTAACTGAAAGGAAACCTCCGGGAGTCCACGCCTGAGAGCTACGCCCTCCCCCACCACCAGGTGCATCTAAACTTCAGGTCTTCCAGCAGCCCTGGAAAGTGAACCCCCACAGCAGGAACTGTAATTGTCAGTACACTGACAGAATTCTGCAGAATGTCTATATTCCCAGTATTATGATGTTGCGTTTTAGCAGTTGTACACATTGTCTAGCCAACTCACAAAACACAAACTTTTATTGCCATTGTGCATATCGACAGAGTTTTATTAATTCTCTGCTCAGATCAAAAGAGTAATGACAAAATGCATAATCTTAGGCTTTAAATTGAAATGCAGCTGTCTATATTATTCAAAATCACCTCTACAGTACATTTCCCAGGTTCTTAAATGTCCTGTACCTGTTGCTTGTTGAGATAGACTCTGCAACCCAGTATTGGATAAATTGTGTAGAAAGTAGAAGAATGGAAACTGGAAGTTTTCATTGTGCAGCAAATTAAAATATATTTATTTATTTAAACTGTAAGTTTATAATAGGCACTTTAGAAGATGCAGAATAAATGTACTGTACAGTATGCCGCTTTGGTTGTGAGAATACCATTGCAGGCCCCATTATCCTCACAGCATGATGGCATATCCACAGCAGGGCAGCAGCCCTGTGTCCAGTGGCGAGATGACTAGTCTGTTGGTGAGGAAGGCAGGGGTGATCATTACATCAGTGTTCCTCTGCAGGCTCCTTGCGCTCCCTCATTAGTGTGCAATGAGTGAAAGCCTGCTCAGCTACAGCCTGAAAGGATTAAAACTCCATTTCCAGAATAATATTGAATTAAATTCCACAGAGTAAGCACTAGCAGACCTTGTTTCTAGATTTACCCAGACGTTGGTAATTAGGAAGCATGCCAGCACAATGCCCAGACTCTTCCAGGGGGAAAGTGTCTTAAATCAGCTTCTCCGAATAATATCTATTCCAGGTGCTGGACCATGCAGTACGATAAAGCATGAACAACACTTCGATCCATGGGGTAGTTTGAGCAATTGTGTAAAGTTCTCTTAACAGTTCTTGCTGTGGACGTCTGAGGATTCTGCTTAATACAGGCACTTACTTCTCTCTCCTTATTAGTTTTATAAAGTTAATAATAAAGTTTTTTGCATATGTGACCCCACCAGCAGCAGCTCCAGCTGCCCAATTCCACAGCTAACCTGGTTGAGAACTGAGAAATTGCTTTAACTATTTAAGGCCAGATTGTAAGGCTAGTGTAGAATTTAGCCAAGACCTCTAACAACCCTACTCTCACAAACAGTACCATGGGATCTTTAATTACTGACTCCTCTACATCAAAGTGTCCCTGTACTCTACAACACACATCTCCAAACAAATCAGCAAAGTTTTTTTCTTCTTTTTTGTTACTTTTCAAGCGTTATTAATTTTGTTAATAATGCTGCTTGTAAACAGCTTTCTCGACAGTACAGTACAAAAGATCAGACAACACAAGCACCTTCTCAACTACTGCTTACCCACTGTATTGGACTTTTTTTTATTCAATTCAAAAATGAAATCTTACATTTTTTATACTTTGTTTTTTTTTAACATTGCTACATTTATGTGATTTAAGGGGACCTACCAAATAAATTAAATTGTAAATATAAGGAATATATAATTATAGAGACTAAAGTATAACGTTGCCCCACTGTGTTTCTCTTTTTACAGTTCCCGGCAAGCCAGCTCTGTCCGTCCAGCAGACCTCAGGCAACATGGCCCTGGTAAAGTGGCAGCCAGCCAGCCAACCCACTTTGGAGATTCAAGGCTACCGGCTCCAATTTGGCCGAAAAGACATCACTCCGCTGGCCACTCTGGAGTTCACAGCACAGGAGCATGAGTATACCATCAACAACGTGCACAAGGGTGCCACGTACATTTTCAAACTTTCTGCCAAGAGCCGCTCAGGCTTTGGGGAGGAGGTAATACGGGAGCTCAGCGTGCCAGAGGAGGTACCAAAGGGCTACCCACAAATCACTGAGGGCTCCAACGTCAGCTGTTGTACGGTTCAGTTCTCCTGGCTCCCACCAGTTCTTGCAGAGAGAAATGGGGTGATCACCCAATACACAGTAGCTTACAAAGAGTCGGGAAGCTCCAGTAACCCCAGCGAGCTGACTCTCCCAGCCAGCCAGTCCAGCCTGACCTTAAACGGCCTCAGCCCAAACTCGGCTTATGATGTGAAGATCCGAGCACACACCAGTGTAGGTCCAGGTCCCTACAGCCCCCCCATCCAGTATCGGACAGTGGCGGTCGAGACAGGTAGGGTTTGCTTGTTTCTTTCTTAGACTGGAAAAACACACGAAAAATAAAAAAAACTGGGGAGACTCACTTCACTAACCTAAAGGTAAAAGTCAATATCAAGTTATGTTGCTGAAAGGGATGCGCGTTGCCGTGAAGGTAAGTGTTCAATAGAAAGACACCTCAGCTCCTGCCCCTTCCAGCGCACCCCTGTATTAGTGCCTCACCTCCCTTCCCCCTCCCCCAGCTGCTAAGGTAGGGTTCTTTTGTCACTTCCAAGTTTCTTTCCCACTTGCAAGTGATGTCAGGCATGGCATCCCACGATGCACTGCAAACAGCTGTGGGCATGCTCTGTCTTGGTCTGTCCTGTCCTTGCTGTGATGTTCATTTTGGCAGTGCCCATCCACATTTCTTGTTTCTCTTTTGTAATTCAGGGGAAAAAAAGTGTTTGGAGGAAAGATGATTAATATGGGAAGAAGTTCTGTCAAATTTCCTTAGCAAGTTCTTGGGTGATTGGACAGGCACTTCCGAACAGAACACAACAGTTTCAGAAATGTCCTCCATGGGTCCGTGTTCATGAGTTCTGTCACCTGTCTTTAATCTACTGCTGATTGCCCCCTTCACAGTGGATCACCGCGCACGGAGGCATGAAGAAAACCCACAGAGCCATCAAAGCTGGATGACTTATCTAAATAACAACTGCATCTTTCCCTTTCTACTTCTCTCCAGGCCTCTGGATTGTCTATAAACGTTTTGTCTTTTCCTTGTGTTTTTTCTTGGCAGACGTCCCAAAGAATTTCAGGATCAAGCTGGTTACCAAGACCTCGATCTTGCTTACCTGGGAATTCCCAGAGAGCAGATCTCCTTACCGTTGCACGGTGAGTCCTGGTGCTGGGTGTACTTGCTGTTGTGGATTACACTGAGCTCCATTAGCTCCCAATACATTACTAGACACTTAGGGCTTTTATTCATGTGCAAGGTTTTGCTTCACATTTTGTATTTCTCTTTAACCCCAGTATACTCATAAAACTCTGATATTAATTCTGTTTAAAATACATGAATTTTCACAGCATTTAGTTTACTTTTAGAGAAAGATATTTCAAAATATAGCCCCTATCCAAAGGTCCACAAACATTTCCTGCCTTCTTTCATTTTGTGTCATCAGATTGAGTATAACAGGCTGAAGATGGACGTGGATGCCAGGGATACAAAGGCACTGATCACCAACCTGCGTCCCAACACTACCTACGACTTCAAGATCACCAGCCTGGAAGACAACATCGGTGGCCTGAGACACAGGGTACAGGCTAGAACAGCCCCATCTATCCTGGTCCACAAGCCTGTGCTGGATCATTATCGGGACAGCGACAGAACTCTTACTATTAAATTCCCATCCCTGGAAAACAAAGACATAGTCAAGTAAGAATTTTGAAGAAATCTAACAATACAGAGACAATTAGACAATGTTTGAAATACACTGTTTATTGATTTATAATTAAGTGGTTTCAATTTCTTGAGGAAGGTTCTTGTAGATCTTGAGGTTTTTTTAAATGTATTTTTGTGAAACAGTTAACAATAATGAATTATTGTTGCGTTTTTGAGTGCAGTTGGAAATATATTTCCATTACAGTACATGTCTAAAGTATACTTTTATAATTTTTTTATTTATATTTTTATCAGTGTGGGTTACATTTGTGATATACTGAATGAGGTTCTTAGTGTGATATCTTAGAATATTGGCATGAGATCATGTCAATGACCATGGTCACCAATGGGATTGTGACAGGTTTGTTACATTCTGAAGTGGTTTACTGTGTTATTTTGCAGGAATGTTTATGTGGTGGTTGTTCCCCTGAAGAAAGTCCGGGGACTATTTGTCAGGCATTGGAAAAACCCAGATGAAATGGATCTCGAAGAGGTACAGTTCACACTTTAATTGGGTTAGCAGGAAACTGGTGGTGGTGGCTAGAAGTAATATGCTATTGGTGAATGTGATTAAAAAAAATTACATTTAGTAGCTGTTGTTTAATCGGGATTGAGGGCTGTAATTGTATGTGACCAAGTGTCTATGTGCCATCATGCAGTCATTGACATGTATATCTCAATTAGGAATCTCAACTTCTGAATTGACTTGGTGAGATATGCATGGGAGAGGACTGTACACCAATTGCACACTTGCCCTTATTATTCCACAGTGCCCAATCTATGGTTCTCACTGACAGCACTGCAAGCTTACACAATGTACCCAGCAAGTCTCAGAGGTCTATGTTACAAGACAAGCCATACTCTACCATTAAGGAAATTCCACTTGCTGTTGGCAGATAATAAACACGATTCAGCCCATTGATGGCTGGAGTGTTAAACGCTACCCTGGACTCTGGATAAGACCTTTCCCTGTTTTAAGCCTCAGTAGCCTTGGGGAAATAGCATTTTTGTAAAGTTATGATCTAACACCAGTCCATTAAAATTGATCTTCCAATGCAGATGCTTTGTTGTTCTACAACTGTATGCAGAGCTGTTTTCTTTATTTTAACGACAATTCAGTGTAATGAAGTCACTCCTAAAAATGACTCCCTCCTCTGCTCTCTCAGCTCCTTAAGGACATCACCCAGCGCCGGCACAGGCGAAGCATGAGACACCTTCGCCAGCTCGACTTTCAGAAGCCTTACATTGCTGCCTGCTTTGAGCCATCCATACTGCCCTCCTACTTCAAAGTAGGAAACCAAGTTGTTTATAATGGCTTTGAGAACCGGGCCTTAGAACCAGGCCAGGAGTACGTCTTCTTCCTTTTAGCAGAGCTCAACATGACCACAGTGGTAAGCACAGTTTGTGACCCATTTCCTCTGCACAGTAGACATGATTTTTTTTGTATAGCACTGTTTTACAAATCAGTCATGGATCAGTAATCAAGCCAATGCCAATAATATAAGTTTCACCGACCTGAAACATAAAAGAAAACATTGCATTAAAATTTAAGGATATCGTATGTTTGTGTAAAAGCTTTGAATGTATTCCAAGTGTAACATTAAAATAAAGCATTTCATACTGTATTGCGGTGTCATGTGGGGTGACCCACAAAACGGATACAGGTTCTAGGCATACCCTGAACACAGACACACTCACCACGCAAGATCTCAAATGAAAAATAAGTTTTCTATTTATACAAGTTTTGTCCTGTGGTAAACATAAGCAAACAAATACCCCATGCTGAGGGAAATAGAGCTCTTAACTATGACACTGCCTCTGAGCCAGAGCTGGAGAGGAGAATAATAGCCGCAGTGCGGCCCTCCAGCTGGAGGTGGGGAAAAATAATAGTGGCAGTTTTCAGATGGAGCTGGAGAAAAATGATAGATTTAGTAGCAAATCTTCATACTGCTAGGTGCATATTCAGTCTAGGCTGGCTGAAGGCCTGGCAATCTGATAGAGTTCGTTCTTGAATTCAGTTACTTGTTAATACCTTCTTCTCCGCCTGGCACTCCATCTATGCTGTCTTTACTGTCAGTGATTGCTGGTGTCCCATCAACCAGACTGTGATCTGCGTGCAGCCATCTTCAGCAGGAGGAAGCTTAGAAAAAGACAGTTATAAACCACAGGAAAAGCTGTGCCTTGCCAGGCACATTCCTCCGCGGCATCACAATATACATAAATGACTCTGATGGACAACCATCCCATCTAGGGTGTTTCCTGCCTTATGCTCATTGCTTCTGCACCCCTGTATTGGAAACAGTGTTAGCAAATGGATGGATATATGTAGATTAATCAAATTGAATATATACAATTTGGCCTCCAAATTATTATACACTAAAACCATGATGAATTTAAGTCTAATGTAAAGCTAGGCAGGTGTAAATTGGAGGTGTGCTTGTGTGTTTTAGAAAATGTTTGCAGCAAGCCCGTACACTGACTCGGTGATGGCCCCAGAAGTGGATCCCCAGCCCATGGATGGTGGAGATGGGCTGATCTGGGTGGTGGGACCTGTGCTGGCTGTGGTCTTCATTATCTGCATAGTCATTGCCATCCTTCTCTACAAGAAGTAAGTGGAATGGTGTGGAGCTGAAAGAAGCTGAACCAAAAAGATGGGAAACATTTCCTGCAGTCGGTTCTCTTTAGCTACACTTGCAGCATTCTATTGGCAACCTTAACTGAATATGACATGCAGTAACTGAAAATAACTGAGACAAAGCTTTTCTAGTCTTTAAACTCTTTGACACAACAAGCAATACAGTAATAGAAATACAGTGGAAAATGTGGCTGGAGATGTAAGATGTGCAGTGAAAATGTAATACAGTGGAGTTTTATTCAAAACAGTTTAACAAAAGATGCTTGTGATCATGTGTCTTGGTGATAACAGTGTATAGGTTACAATAATAGGTCGTAAGATCTACAGATGTAGCATGAATAAAATAGTGCTGAGCTTGTAGATACGGGTAGTGCAATGTTGGTTTTTCATAGTCGCCTATGACAGTATCGTTGACACTGCTACTCTTGTAAAGAGATGGAACCTCAACATCAACAACACATCATTTTCCATTGGCAAGGGATTGCTAAGTGACTCTAGCAGTCTGTAGTCATAGATGAATTATAAAAATTGCAAGGTTGCATTTTGAAAGACAAATATGTATAAAAGTGGAGTTTGAAGGGCAATGTTGGTACAGTATTTAAAAGATCTGTACTCTTTTCTGTTTAACTCTGCTTTTGTAAATCTTAATGATGTTTGGAAGTGGAAAAAGATGGGAACCGATTATCTTTCCATGGCTGTTTTGCACATCCTATTACCTTGGTTTGTCCTTGAACCTGAGGTTGGCCTGTGTTCTATGATGTTCTATTTTCCATGTGTCCATTAGTCTTCCCAGGGGCTTACCCACCTTAAAACTGGCTCTTGTAATGCAGATAAGCGCTATGGAGGACTGCAGCTCTTCTGTGTAAATTAAATGATCCGTATTGATTTTATTGTCCTGTGTTCTTTCCCCTCTTGCTTCATTGCTTTCTTTGGAAACAGCAAACCTGACAGGTAAGGGTTAGGTATACTTTATAGCTGGTTAACATAATAAGCACATTTGGAGTGTAAGTCGCTGAAACACTTTAGAACATGGAACATAAGAAAGGTTATGGACAGAATGAGACCATTTGGCCCATCATCTGGTTGTGAGCAGCTACTGATCCAAGGATCATATCCAGAAAGAAGCCACACCTTTCTATGTGTGCAATCAGCAAGACATTGTCCTCAGAGCAGTAGGATTTCACATCAATTTTCACAATATTATACATGTAAATGCAAGTGTTATTCGAAAAGTGTGCTAAAGGTTAAGGTTTCATCAGTTTGAATTGAGAGTTCTTATTATGTCTGGCTTTCCTTTACTCAGAAGTAGACATTTCATTGGCTGAGCAACTGCCTGTCTGACATAGCACACTGCTTTGTGTTTTTCAAATCCTAATATAATTGCAATTGCCAAACACAGCTAACAGTATACTGTCCATCACTCTAGTTGCTCTAAGTGATGTCACACTGAGAGCTGCCTTGAGCACCAATCACTGCTGTGAATGACATAATAAGTTCAGGTTAAAAATGACTGTCCTAACTTATACTTCTTATAAAGAAGTCTTACAAGCATGTTTACTACATGCAAAGACATACAGTATAGGAAGTCTAAGGATGTAACTTTCAGATCCCTGCTGCTTGCAGTCTGTGTGAAATGATTTGGAAGCATCTTAACATTAGACAGAGAACAATGATTAACAGACTATGAGTCACAGAAACAATTATAGGAGTATTTTCAGTCAAAGGTCCATGAAGTAGAAGCTTATGTGATAGAAACAGTTAATATTGTTAAGATGTCTCCCATATAAGCTGACCTCCATGGGGATTAAATAAAGAGATATATTGGATCATATTGGAGAGCCAGTATAGTGCAGCTTTTACTCCTCTATCCTTTTTACTTTTGAAAACTGGAAAGTGAATGAAAGGAGTGATTTATTTTCTGCGTGACTGAAGAAAATGACATTTGCATTATATAACACTCAGCTGAACATTTCCTTCCTTCTGCCTGTTCAGTAAACGGAAGGAGTCGGAACCACGCACCAAGTGTCTTCTGAACAATGCCGAAATCACACCGCACCACCCCACAGACCCCGTGGAGATGAGACGCATCAACTTCCAGACTCCAGGTACCCTCGCTGCCCCTGTGGGAGGCACAGACCCTGCACGCCAGTGCTGTGGAAATGTGGGCCAAGCTGGTAACAGTGTGGTAATGCTTAACTTGACACAGGTGTAAAAATGGGGAAAAGAATGTTTAATGTATAAGTGAAGCATCAGCAACCTTCTCTGATTTCCCATGCAGATTTTCCATGTGTGCTGTAGTGCTGCTATTGCAGTGCTTTTGAATCTGAAAGTTAACTTTATCAGCCCATGGCGGGAAGCCATTCAGTTTGCTACACCTGCTGGTCTGTTTCTTGAGAGGGAGAATGTGCTTAAAGGCAGCATCAAGGTGACAATATAACAGTCCTCTGTTAAGATTGCTGTGACCTCAGCTTCCTATGTCGCAGTTAGAACAGCCCTCGCCCAGAAAAACAGCAGAGTTTTCACTCTTGCACACACTGGCCGGATTGTACCGTATACTAACGCGCAAGAAAAAAGTACACCATAAAATACTTTTTTTTTCTTTCTGTGTTTTTCCTTCAAATCAAATTTTCAGTTCTGATCCTAAGTATCCTAAGTGTTTGTTAGTTTCATTCTAAGTTCTTCTTGCTTAATTGAACTCTGAATTAAAATAATAAATTGCTTAATTAGGCAGTTCATCTCAATGTTCTAACAGCTGGAGATTTCAAGGTACTTTTATAAGTTAAAATCTCTAGATATTTAAGTGAAAAAGGAAATTTAAAATGATTAAGTATGCAAATTACCTAGATGGTTAAAGTTTAAGCAGTAACTGAGGCATCAGCTGGATTGAACACAAGTTGAACACAACTCCTTTTTACATAATAATCACTGCCCCATTACTTATGACTTGTATGAAATCCTTTATAGAACCTTTTGAATATTTTGATCTTACCATACAGAATTTAAGAGATCAAAACACAATCCAGAATATTTTATTGTATTTACAGTCATTTGTTTTTTCACAGCAGTGCTTTCAGTTCTTGATTTCAATTTTTATTTGATCATGAACATATCCCAGTTTTGATCTTATATTTATCTGTGTGCTTTGTCAACACTTTAAAATCAGAGTTCTATGTCAGAATTAAATTCTTAATTAAGGTCTAATTCTAATTAGAACTCCGTCTGCACAGACATCGGCTCCTGTGTGTTATTTTAGCATTTCACCCATCAAATTCCAACCAGTCACATGTAGCGCCACTCATCACCACCGAAAATCTTGCAGTGCTTTACAGCGCCTCCTACAGCAGATCAGTAGAACTGATATGTTCTCAAAGGGATAGAAGAGGATTCTGTGACAGAGTTGAAGAAGTTGAACAGTCAGATTTTATAAATATACATGCATTTGTGTGGCACAAGTGGGTTAATTCAATTTTTGAAGAAAGCCATTGAATCATTAATTTGGTTCTCAGTTTACAGTACAGTACCCCAGTACAGTAAGGTTGTGTACTTTGTACCTAAGCTTTTTAGCCCTTCTTTATAATAAGGAGTGATAGAGTTTCCACTGTTTCCACATTTCTGCTGCAGTATAGGAACAGATCCATAATAGCTAGAAAAATAAATAGCATGCCATATAACAGGGTTTAGGGTTCCTAAATTTGAAATATCCTCTTATGCAGGGAAAGTCACATTAATTTCACCTTTTAAGGAGAAAGTTAAAAAAGTGATTGTCTCACAGCTTTTTCAGAATTGAGACATTTAATGAATAGGGATCTGGACTTCTTCCACATAGAGAATCATGCCCTCTTCCTCTGATACACATGTTGTACTGGAGAAACGATGGGTTTCCTTCTTGGACACTGAATCATTTCCAAAGATTCCTTAAGTCTTCATGGAACATGGAGGATTTTTACCATATTCCTCTCCAAGTTTCTTTACAGAAGGTTATTTTTTTCCTCACCGACCTTTGCAACACAGTCAATCAACATCTGTAATCTGAAGAAAAAACAGGAGGAAAAGATTTTCCTGTTTAAATTTGTTGATGACTACATGCTACAAGAGCCAAAAAAAAACAACGAAAACTTCCTGCCCCTTTTACTATGTTGTTAGTGACCAGCACAGAACTAGTTCTTAAGAGGAAATAGATGTAAGTGAATATGCTGAATAAAATTAAACTTGAGAGAATTCTCCATTAATGAGCAGCACATACAATTGACATAAAGTGTTTTAGAAAAGATGAACTCAGCAGTTGCTGCTAACAAGGAGACAAATTTGGCAGTTGAAAAGACCAGATATACTGTAGCAAAGTTATGCTGAAACACAGTGGCTGACAGAAATCACTGCAAGCAGGAGAAATGCACTGCTGTTCTGCAGTCTGTGTGTCATGGATTAATTGTCACATTTGCATCAGCACAGAAGAAAACTGCTACTTTGATGTGTAATACTGTATATTTTAATTATAGTTATCATTAGTTTGCACGTCAAAGCCTTCTGTACCATTACTCCATACAAGCTTGCTATGTTTCAATTAGCTGCTTTACTACATGTTTTTGAATACATTTGCAGTTGGAAATTCAATCCAAAATTCCAAAGTTCAATCTGAAGTGTTCCAGACCTTGACTCTCCCTGTCCCTATTGGGTACCAGCGTTAGTCTCAATCTGCCAATAGGCTCTGCCAGTCTCAGAGTCTCACTGAGATGAACAGCAGTGCTAGAACTGCAGTGAAGATGAACTCATTTTGAAGCCCTGCTGTTTTAATTGGGCTTTTAATTGGACTTCATATTATATTTCACTTTTTATACTGCATAGCTGGACTTAATATTAACAGTGATTTGTGTGGACCAAAGATGCAAAAAGTAATTTGTCATTTACAAGTTATGCGTGTAAGGGTTTATTTTTAAAATTAGCAAAATAGAGGAAATCTTTTGGACATTTATGTTGATCTACATAGTGTGTATAAAAGTTACTTACTGTAAACCTGGGCCATGTTAAATTCTCCCATAGCAGGAGACTTGTTCTTCCATCGCAGTGAAGTTCACAGGTGTAGGGAGTGTGAATACCAGGCAGTCATGATCAATTCCTGCCTTGTTAATAGCTAATAGATTATGTTGGGTTTTCAGCTAACTACAAAACTAATCAGAAAATAATTATTTAAATTCTGTTTAAAGTCTGTTTAAATTCTGTAAATACTGTTTACTGAAGCAATAGTAATTATAACTGAATACAGTGACAGCAGTGAGTTACAGTAATGTCCTTAATCTATATACTGAAATATTTAATGTAGCTACTATTACTGTTTTTGTTTTAGTTGCTCTGGTGTATATCCTCCTGTAGTTCAAAATGTAATATTTACTGCTTGGATATGTTTTCAGTAATTACATGTTTATGACAAAGCTAATTATAATGATATTATGTTATGTTTTAGAGCTACACTACCTAATAATCCTAAATTTATAATAACAGGCATTTCAAAATGGTACTGTATTTCCTGTGTACTTAATGGAAATAATTACTCTTTGGTTTACACTAGTTTAGCTCTTAACCAGCAATTGAGTGAGATCAGCTATGTTTCCTCTTTCTTTTCTAACTATTTAAAAGGCTCATATATCATTGTGTTCAAATAGTAATTACAAATTAAATCTTTTCCCATTAAATTGCCTAACTGTTCACATTGAGAATTCCATTTGGATTAGCATTAGCCAGTTTAACAAGCAGTGGATTTGGTAGATCTGTATCAGCTAAACAGGAGCCATTACCACTGTAGTTGCAGATAACATGTGTGTGCTATATTGTATAGTACACGCAGTACATGTGTGTTTTGTATGCACTTGAGTGCATGCATGCGTGTCCCTCAGCCTGCCTTGGCGCCTTCTGTCTTCATTTCTTTTGATTCTGTCCCCTGGGGATCCAATTTACACACTGGCCATGGTTTGGAGAGGATTGTTTTAAGGGAGGTTATAATAGAGCTAAAAGCCCGAAAAAGCAAACTGAGTAAACCGTGCATCTCGGCCCCTGTCATTCTCTCCCATACTGACTGCCTTCACTGAGGTGCACACGCTGGCTGGCAGGCATCTCCGTTTGCAGTGTTAGCTGTGCACAATCAGTGCACAATCAGTGTTTTAAATGTATTAATGATCTGAACCGTACAATCACTAAGAAAAAGCAGGTGATTAGGCCTCAAGCCATCACCCATTCCACACGCCTGATAAATTACATCTTTATGTAGAAAACAGCCCCCACTCTTTTAATTACTGTGCCGTTTTATAGTGGGATTACATTTTATATAGTAAATCCATGCCATTCAAACAGAAGACATGGAGCCTTCTTGTTCAGATATGATCCTTTCACCTTTGAGGCTAAACGTATCCTACCTAGTGTACCTTATTGTTCATTAAGGGACTATAAATAAATTAAAAAAACATTACAAATACAATAAGAATTTGTTGGAGAAAGGCTAGAATTCCATCTGCTTTTAACACCATTTACTTAGTTTCACATAGGCAGCATTGCAGGGTACATTGCAGTAAATATATCAGTCTTTCAGTATTTTTTAATCTGAATGAATACATTTTTTATTTTGCATTTTCTTTTCATTTACAAATGAAGTCAAAACCCTGAAACTGCTTTATGCTCAGAGCTGTGCTTTCAGGACTGTTACATTTACAATACCATCTAAAATGCTTCACTCTGGTATGTCGGCCAGTGTTGGCCCAGTTTTGGTCCATTTTCATCATGGTTCATTTAAGAGAAACTTGTTTTCTAAGAGCTTTAATCAGTAGGAAATCAGAAAGCATTAATGCACTTTACAGTATCCAGATGTAAATATGGAAAATAGCACTTGAGGCTGGTGGAATATGAGGGTAGACAAAAACTAGCAGCATGCTGTGCCATCCAGCCACCGTACTGTTTAACCTCAGGGACTAAGAAGGAAATCTGGCTTCAGTAGCAGTTTGCAGTTAACAAGGGGCATTAATTCCTAAATGTATTCTTCATTTCACATAATTAAATCCAGCACATTATTCAGGGAGGTGACTGGCATCTCATTTCCATTGCGATCCTCCGGCTATAGTTGCAGGGGCTCTGTGAGTGGAGAAGCAAAAAAGTGAGTATTGTATGAGAGCAAAATCCATCCACAGGCCTAATGTATCATAGGAAATATTAATGATGCTGTTCCAATGCACCAACCACTACTGCTTTCTGTTCCTCTTTGAGTTTAATCATCAGCATGTGTGCTCCATCGTCTCACTGACATTATCATTTTTAAAGGTTAATCCGTTTTGGTCAAATAAAAAAAAAGAATTTTAAATAGAATAATTGTGAACTACCTTCAAACATAAGATGGATGATACATGGAGTCTTAGTTATTAGAAAAGCAAGACTATGTGACTATTGATTGAAGAGGGGGAAAAAAGTCCATTTGAAGATGCCACAAGTTTCTGTAAAATTATTTTGACATACAACACCTGTAGGTGTAGCATTTTCACTGTGATTTTTAGGTGTCTGTTGGTATGCTGTATTTTAACTGCTCAATCATTTCAAATGGGCTGCTGATGTCTTCTTGGTAAGTATGCCAGTGGCATGCATTGATTCTTCAGAGCTAGATGCGATCATATTATTTCCTGAGTGCTTTATTATAGTGTCCCTCACTTAACTTGGCTTAACTTGTTACTGTGTTGTAATAGTATCTTACCTCCCAAATAAATGTGGGCTCAGAAATATGTTAAGCATTACCGAGAAAAAGTTCAAGGTAAAACAGCTTGCTGGGGGTTCCCTTGTTGGGGGTAGTACAGGTATGTCACACATGTTTGAGGTAATGGTAGAGATGTCTTTTCTTTCTTTTTCAGCTGTTTCCTGTAAAAACTGAGGCCGGGTGTGATTATGCATCAGTGTCTTATGCTTTCTTTCACTGATGAAACCATATACCACTGCTTTCTAGCATTATCTTGAGTTTGCTAGTTATATACAGTCATAGATATGTAATTTGATCAGTCAAAAGATGTGAATTTGTGGAAATATGCAAGTTAAATTGCTCCAACCAGTTTGACAACATTAGATACAGAGCATCGAAAGAGAATTTGAATTCTGCCTTGCATATTTTGACAAAGCAACAAATCACAGACATATCACAGTAATGAGTTTAATTTGCTTATTTCCCATAACCCATATCAATAGATTTTGTTTGGCCGTAGACACCTTAACTCTAGATATGCAGGCACACTCTAGTGAATTTTGTTGTCATAGTCACTTGCCGTCCTTTTTCAGAAATACTCTTTAAACAGCCTCATCACAGCACTCTGAGTTGTGGATGTTGAACATCAAATATCTCAATACACTTTCTTCAGTGTCCTTCAGTTAAGCAACAAGACTCTTCTGATATTGCAAATTTAGATTTTTTTTATTTCTTTCACGGTGAGAAATGTTTTATGTTCTGAAGAAGAAGCAGGTGCGAAAGAAGAAAATAATGGAAGCACTGTGGTTTGGCTGTTCAGGTTGACTGAAAGAGTCTGAAACTTACAGTACTAATGCATGAGGTTTATTAGACCTGATGTTTATTGAAGAAGCCAATTGGGTTGAGCCATTTGTAGAACAATGAGGGTAATGTAATTGAATGGAACCAGGACCAGTGTGCTGTGAAGTACCTCATGTGTTAAAATATTTCCTGTGCTCCTGTGGTAAAATGTACAGTAGTTTGCCCATGTCTTCTCAACCTTCCCAACCTTCATTCGTATATTGTATGTAACACACTGGCCAGTCAGATGTCCTTCTTCTCTATGTCCGTTGCTATGACAACGAAGAAACTATCATTTATATTTTCTAAACAAGCCTATCTTTTTATAAATTGGTATTATTGGCCCCTGTTTATGAAAGTTTTTTATCCAAGTTTCAGAGGAATGCAATCTTTGACTTGTAGAATTCTGATTTACTAAATGGCCGTAGTAAATACAAAATAATAGTAGTATGTGAGTATATTTATATATATATATGGTTAAATGCAGGATTCTTGCAGGACTGCATGGATTCCTTCAAGGATTGTGCATACTCAGAAATCTTTTGAAATTTTGGAATAACCTGTAAGGAATTTAGCTCTGGAACGCTGCAGGATTTTTTTTTTGGTGTTGTTCAAACCTCATGCTTTTTTCTTTTTTTATGTGGGAGGTCATAGGCAGGAATAATTCCAGACAGAACTGTTTCTTCTGGACTGAGTTAGCAGCATTGAAGTTTCTCAGATGTAGTTTAAAACGTATATTAAATAACTTTGATAAAGAGGGGCACCTGCAAAGCATGAAGTGTATAAGGTACTTTTTTCTTTCCTTTTTTTCCTCCAGTGCTGTGTTGGCCTTTATTTTTGTTATCTTTTTCTTTTTTCATCAGTGTTTAAAAGGTTTTCTTTTTATGTTTGCTGTTTTTCGCAGATTCTGGTCTCAGCAGTCCCCACAGTGAAGCCGATTTTGACATTGAAAGTTAGTTCCTGTGTATTTTAGTTCCTGTGTTTGTCTTTTCAGCTTTTTTCAGTATTGCCCCTTTTACCCACATTTCTATTTACATCTTTTTAAAACTGATTTGCAAATCCAGTCTTATTTCTCACTCACAGCTCTTTTTTTGTTATTGTTATTATTTGGAGTTGCTGTATTCTCACGGCTGTCAGGCTGTTCATTAATCCTGGGTTTCACGCTTTCACTGTGTTACCTTCCAGCCTCACTGCAACTCACATGTCAAAAACAAAACATTTTTGGTAGAGTCCTCCCCTGCTGAACTAATTCCAGCTTAACTGATGGGGTCTTTCTGGAGACAGAAGTGTTTAAACAACACTAAGCAATAGAAGCAGAGACTTGGTGCCTTGCCTCTCCTAAGCATCTCAAAAATAGTTCCAAAGATTGCTTTAAGCACTACCGGTAAAATATATTCTCTGCTTGTCATACCGCTGCCAATCCAAAATTAGAAATTAGCTACAGTTGTGTCATATTGAGCCTGTGGCCTTATTACTGACAGACAGAAAATTTTCAGTGCAATGTAAGTATATAGAATGGGCACTTTTCCTTTGAAGATGGAAAGATGGAAGTTTGTAATAATTATTTGCAAACTTAAAATCCACATATTTATTAACCAGATCATGCCAGGTGTTTTATGACTTAGACAAGATAAGAAGAGTGTAGATGTAAGTGTTTAAATCTGGAGATCCTAATTATCTATATAAAATCATATTTGTATTTAACTCTGCAGACAGTATCTGTCTGTTCTTCAAGTGCATCTAAGGGTTCTCACTATTTGAATATCAGTTTAGAATCCGAGTTGAAAAACCTGAATACAACCTTGATAAAAAAATGGTCTTGGATGATATTTTCACTTCTTCCATCTGAAAGGTTTTAACAATTAAAATATTTCATACACAGATTTTCTCAAAGTGCCTTACAGGAAAGAAGTGAACTCACTTCATCCAAAAGCTCACTAAGCAACTGACAGGGAAGGATAATGTAGAAAAACATAGTTATATGGAAATTAAATTGAAACTGTCATGATAATTCCACAGAAATTACGTAAAAATAGGCACTGGGAATATTTAATTCTTGATTTTATATGTAGTACATGGAAAAATGTATTTAAAATGCTTACATTACACAAACATTGAAATAGATTTGCTGTCACACTCAAATCTCCATATCTATGAAATGTCCTGAAATCTAAATTAAGGCACACCAGAAATGATGTAAGTACAGCTTTCCCAAGCCAAGCTGTTGCTTTCTGTTTTGCTTATTCAACTATCATCCTTTGTACGGTTTCAGCAGTTTTTCTTTTGAGCCTTTAAATGTGTCTATCACTTTATAGTGTGTTAGTTTCTCTCCATCAGCTGACTTTGAGCTGTACTTTATACCCTATAACTCATAGAAAGATACATTTCTATGAGTTCCTACTCTTACACTGCACACCAGTTTGAGATCTGTTCGACAGACTTTGTGACACAGTGGATTTCTTAAACTTGCTCTGAATCTTCATTTCAGGGTTGTTAAGAACTGGAAAATGTTTCAGATGAGAATACCATTGAGCTCATCTAGGTTGTTTGATTGAGGATAGCTAATTGATCTAAATATCTCGTCCAGCAACCTCTGCAAAGAAGCTAGAGTATCAGCTTCGGCAACTTGACTGCGTAGCTTGTTTCCAACTTCAGAAGTTTAGTTACATTTACTGGAATAAAAAGTAAGCATTGCAGAAAAATGTTGTGTGTATACCTGAGATTCTAGCAGCTTGTGTTAAAGATTTCCGTTTCCCTTCTGTTGAACTCGGGAGTTTTGTTTTGGCCAGGTTGAAGAAAATTGAACTGCAGCTTACCCAGCATACCTTTGTTACCACCCCTACTCCTTCACAGAGCTGAAAGCAGTACCGAGTCATAAGGGCTCTCAGGACTTGTACTGTAAGTGGAGGTTGTGGTTCATGTGGGTCCCCACTGGGAAGAATGCTGTTGTGTCTGCGTTTTATGTTCATCAGCCAGGAATCTAAAGTGTTTTCTTGGTACATGGTACAGCCTGGTTAATATACATATTTTTATCTGTTACACTAGCTGTGAATTTAGCAAAAACATTCCTCTTCATATATCAGCACGTTTTGCTGAATTTGCAAACAAGTTAAAAACAGTGTTGACAAACTTTTCTTTTGATACCAGAGATGAAGCGATTCTGCAAAAAATCGATTTATTCTGTCAGTCTGTCTAACTAACAGGAATTGTAATTACAAATTTAGCTTTTGTTAAGTGTTGTTTGTACGCGTGTAATCTGTCACTTGAGCCACAGTAGTAGCAGGTGCCCTGTTTGTTCTCAGATTCCAGCTGTGATATTTCAACGGGCATGTTTGGAAGAGATTTCTAAATACGTTTTAGCCCTTAAATTTTTATTTCATAAAAATAATGATAAAAGGGTGTATTGTTAGAAAAAGCAAATCTGGAATTCAGCATGACTGGCTACTGTATTTTGGAGAACCTGGTGATAAGGAGGCAATTAATACCAAATTCTGTCTTCTGTCAATACTGTCTTATGTTTCATCTTGGTGTCTGTTTAAATTAGCTTAAATTAAACTGCTACTAAAAGAAATATCCCCCAGTGACCCTTAATTTGGCATTCTTTGTACAGTATATACAGTACTAATGTGGTTTCTCTTTTTCCTGAAGCCTTATGATATGGGAAAGATAGTCATACTGGAAACAAAAATGTAATTTGACTGAAAAAATTGTGAATTTTTAAATGGAGCTCTAGGCTGATCCCCATCAGTTATAATATCTGTTTAGATTTTGTTTAACTTCCTATATGCTAATACAGACCATCAAACAAGGGACTCTCACTTGTTTCTATATTAATGAGATGTTGGGCTTGCTAATGGTTTGTTGCAACTAAGTTTGTGTGTGTGTGCTGATTTGTTTCACCTGTTTTTCTCACCGTTCAACTATGGTAAGAATGACATCATGGTTTCAAAGAAGAAAAGAAAACAATGGTATTCTAACACATGGATTCTCATTTTCCTGAAGTGTCTTTTTTCAATTGTGCCTTAACTAGTGGAATATGAGCTTTTTTGTGGACTTTTTACAAAATACTTGACTGAGCTAAACTGTGTGCAGACAGTTCTTCCAATCTGTCCTGTGTGTGCAGGTAAAAAAATCAGTACCAGAAAGCACTAATTCTAGAGCTGTAATGGGGAAAATATTTGCTGTAATATCAGCAGTTGTACATTCCTGCAAATCCATTTTAACTTACCATGTACTTTTTAATCTAGTCTTTTGGACTCACAGCATAACATTGAATGATAATCACACGATATGTTTATCAATTTGACCATGAAAGCATGACTTGAACTGCAGACATTTTCACCCCAGTTCACATTTATGCTGTGTTCACCTTTTTATCACTCTGGGGATGTTTGATCAAAGGTACTGCTAATTTTCTAGTGTACATACAAGATTCCACTTGAGGACTGCCTAATTATATCACAGTTTGGATAGCAAATTAATAATAAAATGTAGGTGTAATGTTGGAGAAGATTTGGAGAGTGTTAATATAAAGACAGTACTGGTATGTAGGCAGCATGTTAGAATTCTGGAGAAAAGAGAGAGCCTATTTTAATCTTAGAAATATCATCATTAATTTGATGGGATGCTCAAATGAAAGAAAAAAAACTATGCAGCATTTCTAAGTGACCTTAATTCAAAGAATATTTGAACATCTGCTGTCAGAGGTCCCTTTTATTATTCACAAATGCACAGGGAGTGAAAATAAAGAAAGAAAAAACAAACTTTGTTTAGAATCCATTTTGGCACATCATTATGTCATGCCAGTCCATCACTTTCGAGTTCCAGATATTTTTAACTTGATTCACTTTTAGCTCTTATTGGAAATCTGCATAATGTATTTTCACAGTTTTCTCAGGGAATTATTTTCCTTAATCTGTTGTGTTAGCATGCATGTGAGGATTTTGGATGAAAATAAGCATGAATTAAGGTTGTTTGTTTGGCTCTACATATTTAACAAAACTTTTTAAGCAGTATGAGGAACTGTTACAGATCATTTCCAGCTGTTTTAAAATACACCAATTTGTGGAAATTAGATTTTGAATTATTTATTCATGCTTTTGTAATCAGGATCTTCTGCTTCATACTGTAAAAAAATCCATTGAAAGTGAAAAGGCAACTTTGTAAAAAAAGTTATATTGGGCAGTTACACTTGCACACAGAGGATGGGGTACATCCTGCAAGTTGAAAAAAGCAGCTGGAGCCTTACCTCTCTGAGGTTATAGAGAGCAAAAAATAGCTTCTTATAAGTCTGAATGAAAATATCAAAAGTGCGCATCACATCCTCAGGGTAATCTAGTCATTGTGCCATCATTTATGCCTTCTGTAAATTCTAAAGCTGTTTTGCTGTTGCTTTTCAAGTAGAGTTCAGTGCAGTGTGTGCGTCAATAAGACCACTGGGTAATTTGATGGCGGCATGCAGACAGGTTGCCCATCATGCATTTCAAGAGATTGTGTGTAGTTGTTTTTATTTTGTTTGTATTTTTGTTAATAGCTGCCATTGCTCTATCAGCCTCTGTCTCCAGAGCCTAGTATCTACAGTAGTATTTCTCTTCAGCAGTAAGTGGAACTGCCGCACTCAAGCTCACCCACCAAGATTCCAGTTTTAAGAAACTGCTTGGTGTAACAAACTGACAGAGACACATTGTCCTTGGTACAGATTCACGGGAAATTAAATGGTGGCAGAGAAATGGGGAGGTTTACACCTTGAAAGCTGAGTCAGGGGAAGGACTCCACATTTTGTGCAGAAGTGTTTAGTATTTATCGAGCATCGTTACTGCAGCCTATTTCAAAAATAATTTACTGTATGGAGCATACTAATTTGTTAGATTAGGGTTTAAGTCCTGGCACAGAGCAGATATGTTATGAATACCTTTTGCTTTTCTAAGAATATCCATTCATTCTGTCAAGTCACTAGTGAAAAGCTGGCATTGTAATTTAAGGGATTTTATACTAAATGTCCTGTGAAACATTCCTCTGGATCATTCTCTTAGATTTGTTAGATTCTTCTTTGTGATTGAGAATGGCAGATGGCACCATATTGCCTCAAAGAGATGCACATCAGGACTTTTGTGGGGATTAGTTATGTACTTTGAATATAATGTATCTGTTTCCTATTTGCTTTCCAAAACCATTGTGAAGTTTCTGTCTTAGAGTCACACCTAAAGTATTTAAAATATTAAAAATAACCCAAACAAATGTATGGTACTTTGGGATCTGAAGTGTACTATTAAGTGGTCACAGATTATTCATGGTAACCTTTAGAAGGCAGAATTTTAAAATGGTGGTACATTGACTAGGTTTAAAAAAACATTTCTAACATACAGTATTGTTAAGATATATTTTGTCTTACTACCTTTGGTAAAAAAAATGACAGTTTAACAATATTTTAATAGAAAAAAATGTATTGTTATTTATAAGAAGTGTATCAAGAAGATGTATGACAATTAATTGAAAGCATTAAAAAAATCAGTGATAACTATATATTCTCTATTACATATTAAGTAAATACAGAGCAAGATCGTGGGATGTTGATTTTTACATTTCATTTTTTTTAAATAACTTTAAATAACATAGGTTTTGTGGAGTGAGTTTGACACAAGCTGGTCTAAGTTAAATAAGTCTGAATATCGCATTTGTCTTGAGTTTGGCAGGATAATTTTACTGAAGCCTTTGAAGACCCGCAGATCAACTGTATTGATTAACTGCCTGATGTTCTTTTTGACATTTCTTTCAAATGTCCATTTCAGACTTTGTTTTGTGTGGCACTATATGAAGTGCCGTGGCTTTTGTTTAATGTGTCATTTAACGTTGTCTTCATAACCATTCATTAACCATGAAAGACTACGCAATCTTCTGTTGTGACTGAATATCCCAAAAATTAATAATGCGATTTGAATTTTTCTTTTCATGATTCTATCCAACTGCAGGGACGTTAAAATTAATTTCATCTTTTTGTTTCAAGTGCTCGATGTATCTGTTAAAATTATGCCAATTTTACAAAGAATTGAGTCAGAAGCTGAGCAAATAAGGGAAGAGGTGGTTTAAAAATAAAAAGGTAGAGACGTGCAGGGAACAGCAACTAGCAAATCAAATCAAAGCATCTATTGCATTATTTTAATGCACTCAGTTATATGGTTAATTGGTCAGAAACACCATGCTCTATTACCAAAGAGACCTTTTTTCTTAAATTGAAAATTAAATGTAGAAAACATTACTAGAATTATACTCTGCACTGGTAATTACTGCTAGTTCACGCTGAATGTCTCTTTGTCATCTGCTCGGCTCAGGATAAGTATTAGAGCAGTCATGCAAACACAAACAGCTGACTTGCATGCTTAGCTGGGCAATCACCAATCATTGGAAATCAAAGATTGTGATGTCTAATCGAAACTAATTGCATTTCAGAGTAGCTGACTGTAATTAACAAATAGCACTGTATGAAATTGGCTGACCTGAGGTGCCATCCTTTATCAACTCTGTGTGGCCCAGTTTCGTATCATGTTTATAACATGGACCCCTGATTGCAACCATAAGTATTTCTAATTTTTATTGCCCTTGTGCTACAGTTGGGTCACTTCATTCAACTTTTTGTTTCGCTGTTTCAGCTGATGTTTATCTAAGAAATGTGTGCTTTCTGGAAAGTCAAAGCATGCGATGTGAAATCCAAGGACTTGTATAAACTAATAAGAGTGGCTGCAACTCAGGATACCAACATAACATTTGCATGATTCATCAACTCTGCTTTACTGCTATAAAGAAATTTTATACTTGTCATAGCCATTCAGTATTTTTCATGCAGCTCCTACAGTGCCTGTGAGAAATTTAAAGTAATGCTGCACTTGTAGGCAATCCTGCGGGGTTAGAAGTGACTGTCAAGCCCCACAGCTGCTATTGTGAAGGAAGCTAATGATACCCTGACCAGGTCAAGCCCACCCAGCCTCAGCGGTGCTTGACCGCTCAATGAATTGCTGTAAGTGGCTGAGCAACTCTAGAGCTACACGGAATTAGACTACATATGCCCTTACTCTCAGTTGGGGAACAGAGATTGTAAGGTCAAATTGTCTATTAAATCTTAGAAAATATGTTATACTCCCTCCCCAGTTTAGAGTAGCCTGTTGTGTGTGTTTCATATCGGGGCTCATACTGTAGCTGCGAACCCCATGATGATACAGGGGAGAAAAGTCATCCACTTTTTGTTGTGAACAGCATGATCATTTCCTTCAAATTATAAAACTTTTTTTTGTAATGCGCCACAGTTTGCTGAGCATCATAGCATGTGATGACTGGCTTTTATCTCAGACTGATATTCAGCAGAGCCAGTACAGGAGTGCATTATCCGTTTAAAAGGCTGATTTGCACTGCTCACCACAATGGAGAAGGAATTCAAAGAAATTTAATTCACTATCCATATCCTATAGGTGTGCTTTATTAATAGATGTCCTAGATTAGTGTTTTCAAATGAATTGTCAAATTAACTTAATGAAATAAACAATACAATAAAAATATTTTAAATATATTACTCTTTTTTATCAGTTAACATTTTAGGGATTCATTTACAGTCTATATGTACTGTATATACAGCAAGTACTGTAAATATGGTGGCATATGATTTTTAACACTTAAGTATATAGATTTTTTGTCATGTCTGTGTATACAATGTGACTCCTTCAGCTGTTTGGACCTCTGTTTTAGAGTTGCTCGCATTGGGATACTGTAACAGTGATAAGCATCTGAATTTGTTTTGGCTTCCATGATTTTTTATAGTGTTTGTCCGGGGTGACTGCCTTCAGTTCAAAACCTGCCATGCTTGTCGTTTATTGGAAAACAGGAAGTACAAAGAAATAAACTGATGATGTCATGCTTGCTTTGCCTTGTGTTTGCTTAGTTCACTGAAATGGACCATACCGCCTCACCACACCGCACCGCACCTCCATGTGATCAGGAACAGGACTCGGAGCTCAGCAGAGCTGCACACTGATCCACTCCCCCAATGTGGGGCTGTAGATAATTACTGCCAGTTAGAAGGCTTATTGTCACAGACATCTGGCCATGTTTAGAAACATATTAGCTATCATCACTTAAATATTGTCAATAGACTTTTAGTTCTGAAAAACCCTCCATTTTGAGGACTGGTGCAGCTTTGAGGTTACAGTATATGGCTTTATCTCCTTCAGAGTAAAATGGCACCAACATGTCTCCTTAGAATGTTTAATGCAAGACAGATGATTGTAAGTAGATCCTTATTTTCAATTTAGTCCTGCACGGCCCTCCTGTGAAAAATGGCCCTATCTTAAATGATTGGATTTATGCATCAAATTTCTTTGCCTTCAAAAAATGAGAATGTTTTATAAAATGCCTGCTTTTGTGCTGTCATTATTTTTTGTTTTCTTTCTCAAAGGTATCTTTTCACTTGCAAAGAAACAATTATTTCCGTCATCTTGTCTACGTTCTGTCGAGTTTATAGGGAAGAAAAATAACTACTTTTAACGCCATGACGTACTAGAAAAGAATATTCTAAATACAAAGCAGTGCTGATGTCGTGTCAGGTTAGAAGTCTTATAAAGAGACTTTATAAGACTTCTAACCTGACATATGTCTCTCTGAAAAGGAGAAAGGAAATAGCTCTGAGTGTTGTTTCGACACCTTAGCGATCACCAGGGGTTTTCCTTTTTTGGGGGGGACCGAGCTAAGGTAGTTTGGGTAGGAAAGGACAACACCTAGAAGTGCAGAATGAGGATTTCGAGCCCTGGCCTGATCCCTGTGTCATAACCACTCATTAACCATCGGGTTGTGTATATTCCAGTCTCCACTCCAGGCTCCTCTCTCCCTCTCTCTGTCTCTCTCTGATTTTTTAAATTGTTTTTTGCTTGGTGACAACCGCCCTGAGCTTCCTGCTAACAGCCTGCCTCTCTCTCTCTCCGGTGTATTTCTACATTCTGTCTCTCCCCTGGCAGGTATGCTCAACCACCCACCTATTCCCATCACCGAGCTGGCCGAACACACTGAGCTGCTCAAAGCCAATGACAACCTCAATCTGGCTCAGGAATATGAGGTAAGAGTTATCCTTCTCCAGGAAGAAAGCACTTCTTACTTTATTTTCTGGCTATGTGAACGTTTTAAGATATGGAACACCTGCTTTAGCATTTTCAGACACCTAGAAATAGGGAAATGCTTGTTAGAGCTGGGTGGGTAATAGGGAACCTTTTAAAAAAATGAGATAGTTTTGAGGAAGGATTTTTATAATAATGTCACAAAATGCTGTAAGGAGTAAGTGGCTGCTGTCCCCTCAACCAACTCTAAAAATCTGTTATGTAAATTATGATGTCATGTGGAATAACACCTTTTCTGGATAATTAAATTAAAATTGTCACAATAAAAACAACTAATAGAAACAGTGGGAAATAAGTTCTGTTGCAGCTTTTTGAAGGAATGTGTGGGAAGTTCTCTAATGAGTATCCCTTTTCAAAAATGAAATTAGAATAGTTGATTTTTTTAAAGGTATCCAATGAATTTAATTCTTATGCTTTATTTTCCCAGAAATCTGGTTATTTATTTCAGTGTTAAATGTAAAGAACAGATAGCACCTAGATACTGACTGTAGGCTTATCTGCAACCCCAACCAATAGGAAGTATTCTTTAAAATATGCCACATTGATGCTACCCAGGACTGGAAAGAACACTGATCTAGATAAATTAAGCTGCATTTACTGAAGTTTAATTTATTAATTGGATGTAAGATTCTCCCCATAGATTCAGTCAAGGGGGGGTCTCTGCTAAAAGTTAGGTTGGTAACGGCAGTCCAAAGATGTTAGGCAACATCTGTCGCATTTAATGTCAGGCATGCTGTCTTAATTATGAGACCCAGGGTTATAAATGAGCCAGCTGCTGATTATAAACCAGAGTTGCTGAATCAGCCATCATTTGCATAATGCAATATCTGATTTCTCCGGCCCTAAATCAAAGAATTGAATAAAAAAATCCCAGATGAAATAGATGCAGGGAAGAGATTAGTGGGAATTGAATGTGGACACAAGCACTACAACAGCGGTGCAGATGTGCAGATAGTTGAAAACAGATCCTGACAACAGAGTTCTCTAATGCAGACATGCGATGCACAGCAAGACCCAGAGTTTTTCTTGAAGAAAGTGCTGCTTTTTATCTCCTTGGGCAATAGCTTAAAAAAACACCTGGGCACTGCAGGCTTCTGAAATATAGTTAGCATTGAGCATCTACAGGAGACACCCCAGCACTGCGCCAGAATTATAATCACTTGGCTTGCAATTCTTTAACGTGTCCTGAGAAGTAAACGGTCAAATTAAAAGATTAGCTTTTGATTAATTGCCTCTTTCAAGAACTTTCCACAGGCAAGCAGTGGCTGTGGAGTCTTGTGTGACTGAGTGGCTGTAGTGTGGAATAAGAGTCTTTGACTGCTGTAGAGCTTGGTAGAGTTATGTGGGCTGCAATGTGGATTAGAAGGGGAAAGGTGCAGAACTTGAAAACTGGCTTGGAAGCTGTAATCCTATGAATTCAGCATAGTGTGAACCTCTAAGCAGATTCTGTAATTTAACAACTGCAAGCAAGGTTATTTTATTGATTTACACATTCTTCTTAAGCTTTTATTTAACATTTGCTTCACCTCATCAAGCGCATTCATGATGTTCATATGTACTGCATATCAAGCACACCCTGTATAAAGCTCTCTGTGTAGCTATAGAGGGGCTTTTCTTTTGATTTACTGGTGGGAAAATTGCTTAGTGTAATGTAGCAAGCCAGGTTGCATGTTATATTGCCAAGAGATTTGAAGAGGCTTTTGATATTTATTACAATATGTACAGTATATACTATGTTGCAGACTCATTTCTCAAAGGAGTAATGATCAATCTTTAAAGCCTTGTCTTGATCTTTATTTTTTTTATTATTAAGTCATTCATCCCAGTGAAGATGGAATATTTATTTTTATCATCAGCACTGGATATGGACATTAATGACCTCATGACTGTTTTTATAAAACAAACCGTTGCCCCTGGGTGGCAGTAAAGGGGCTCCTCTGAGCACCAGGTGAGCTTCATTTCCCACCTGTCTGTGCCCACTAGCTGCCAGTAACTGGAATTTCCCAGGCAGTGGCACTCAATTATGCCTTTTGAGTATATATGTTATTTATAAGTATAAGTATTATTTTTAAGTCAAGTAGTAGATTTTACACTTCTTATATACTGCAGAATGTGAGAGAAATAGATGGTGAGAGAGCTGATTTTGTACAGGGTTCAGGGGGTTAAAATGCAGGGTGAAGTTTCTTGGAAATGACATCTCTCAAGGAGACCTGCCAAGAGCGAATCGAAAGCTGTTTCTCTGGGCCATTAGACACAAACTACAGCAAGCACACGGCACATGATCTTGGTACTAACGAGGAAACTTAGTAATCAGTAGGTTTTTAAATGTAAGAGAGGCTCTTCTAGGACAGCGGTTCTCAGCACTGGTCCTGAAGTACAGTACCAGGCAGTGAGGAAAGAGAGAAATTGGTCAGGAAAAGAGCCTCTGAAAATATGAAGGCAGCCCTCTGTTTTAGAAACCCAGATCAGTCCCCAGAAAACTGGTTGGAAACTGCAGCTCCATGTTGGACAGCCATCTGTGCGAGTCCTGTCTTAAAAGGGTACCAATAAGCTTGGTAAAGGTCATTGCACTTATTTGTGACTAAAGATATTCAACATTGAAGGAAACTTTCCATTTCAGATTAAATCTAAGTTTTCTGTGTTCATTTTTCAAACGAAAGACCAAAGAAAAAATAAAATATCATAACTCTAGGTTAAAGTGATCCAATTAAGTAAGAAGCTCAAATAAAAATTAAAAAAAGAAATCTAAGAGATTCAGTTGGAAAAATCCTACGTAACAGGGCGGTAATAGTAACAGGCCAAGGCTGACAATTGTTAATGACCCATGACCCTGGGTGTGCAGTTTATCAGGCAGACTGGGTGGCCTCCTCTGATTCATAACTTGAAGTTCTTATGTTGTATCCCAGAAACAGGGTCTGAAATGTGGAAATTGCATGTGAAAGAGTGATAAGCAGTCTGCAAGAGGCTTCTAAACTGACTGAACAGGGAAAAACAGGCATGGAGGACATCACACTATTATTTCACATTATTTTAGAAGGTGACACTGGGGAAACTTAATATATGAGACACTATTTCACCTCCCTGTGTCTGTACTTTTTGCATAGGCAAAATGTAAAGGCATCCTTCAGGCAAGTAAGAGGAGCTCCTGTGCCTGAAAGTCAGCACAGAATCATAATGGAATACTAAATTACACTGACATGGGAATAGAATATGTATTTGCAATTCTCATATTCAGAATGCAACAGCATTTGTCATGGCAGTGAGAGCCTGGCACTTTTTATGCACTGTTCTTGGGATGAGGGAGCTACCACCTTCATCAATATTATGATTGCTGTTATTCACTGTCCAAAATAATAATCCTGAAAAGCTGATGCACTTCATTTTCCATTCAAGTGTGTACTGAGCAGTTCTAATTCTGTGAGTCTGACAGTGTATTTCATGTACTGTATTGGTGCTGTTTCTTTTTCATTTTGAAGAGATGTGATGTGGCTAGAAACCTGTGTGGAGCTTAATTAAATCAATGATCAGTTCATTTAAGTCTTAGTTTACATCTAACCAAAGAAAGCTCTGGATATTTAGGGCCAGTTTATGTTTATAAAGTGCTTTGAATATTCAATACCATAAATTAAATATAGTTACTTTCCCCCTCCATTTGCCTATAGACCTCAATGTACTCAGCTCCTTCGTACAGCATCCTTAAATGTACAGTAAGTTACACATAAAGGGAAAACATATCTGAACTTATTTTATCGAACTACTGAAAGCATTGAAAATCTCTGTGCTACTCTATTCTCTCTTGAAGGTAATAGTTAACCACAGCCAAAATACATGTTTCAAACAAAACTGTTAATGTTATTATAGTGCTGACCACTGTGATAACAATGTTGAAACCTGTTGGCACCATGTTTTATTCACGGTTGAAGAAAGTGCACAGATAGAAAAATCTTAAATTACATAGTGACAGATTTTGTTTTGGTAAACAACAGCAAAGGAGTGATGTGACTGAACTTTTACATGTATTTTTACACAAATAAATGTATTTCAAATTAATTTCATGAAACAGAAAGTTGTTAAGCCTAGATTCTGCTCAGGGGAACTATAAATTCAATTAACTGTAAATGTGTTTGTCACTTCTCTCTAACTCCAGCTTGGTGGTTTTATTGAATGAATTATTGGATGATTAATTATCACACACAGATTGATTAATAGCCTTTTCACATAAAAAAACGTATGTTTCTTATATAGTTAACAAATGTACTTAAGAGCTGTATGGCAATTTAATTACGATTAACTGAAGACATTTTCAGAAATGTAAAGAACATTTTTCAGTGAAAGATTAAACATTGAACATCCGTGGTCAGTGTTGAAAATGCTACCAGCTGAGAACAAAGATAAATCAAATCTCACGACTGTAGATGGTCTGTTCCAGTTTCATAATTCAGCAACAGCTGACCTGAAGAACTTACAGAGTATCAGAACAGTCACCTTTACCATTCTTTTTTTCCTGAAATAGGCGTTGAAAAATATGAGATCAGGTTTTGTTTAATAATATTAGCAAAAATACTATTTATATATGTTAAGCTAGTTCAGGTGGACAATACACATTTTTGCTTTTATTGTGGAAAAACTGGCTAGTTTAAAAAATGAGCAAGTTGTCAGATACCAACTAATATTCAGTGAAGTTTTTGATTTCTTTAGGATAGATTACAAATATAATTAAAGTAATGGGTTTATTCAATTCATAGCAGACCTGGACCAGACTGTAATCATAGCAATCAGGGTGAGAAGTTAGATCATAATCTGTCTATGGTTACTCTAAGAATAGATTGGATTTTTATCTTGCCATTAACATTTAAGTAAAAATTAGTTTAAAATAAGGGATGAGCAGAATGGAGTCGTCTCTGTGTTTCTGTCTCTTTAGGATGTTTTTAGTTGCAGCCATTGTTAGGTGGAGAATTTCAGTAAGAAATGACAGTTTTGAGAAACAGGAAGGATGGTGCTTCTTCAAAGCTGTAAATACACTTGCACCTTTCATAAACCTCATGACACTTTACCATCTTTAATATGATTGAAAACTGAGAAAGATAAACTCAAAAGAATATACAACATGAGGTGCATTGCAATAAACTGATTACATTGTCTACATTTCGATTTAAGACCAGATGACAGCTTTACGGTGTTCTGGGGCCATGAAGCTTTATTAATTCTGCTCTCACTGTAGCTGATGCGCAGCTCCGTCTGGTTTGGTACCTGTGGCGCTCTGTCAGACCTCCTGAGGTTCATTTATCTTGTGATCTCAACAGAACGCATTTGGAAATGTCACCATATTGAGATGCTTTGTCCCTTGATCTCTACCAACGAGACTGTTCTTCTTTCTGTCCTAAATGACCTAATATGAAATATATTGTTTTAAAAATGTACTCTGCAATGAACCAGGCTCACAACAGACACAAATGAAAATCCTATGAATGTCGATTTTGGAAAAGAAATGTGACGTAGTGGTTTACACAGAAAGTGTAACAAAATACTCTGCAATGTCTTTGAGTCTATTTTCAAGGATACTTGAAGAAATGGGTAGATAAAGTCCTCAGATCAGTAACCATAAAACATTGAGCTTCCTTTCATTTATAAACGTTCCTATGGTATAACTTTTGATAGTGTATTTGTGCTCCAATTTAGAGGTGGATTCATTTTAATTGTTATGCAGTATTAGTAGTAGACGTATTAGTTAAGCAGCAGTAGGACCCTCTGCGATCCCAAGTCCAAACCAGTAAAGGTGCAAATTTCTGGGACAAGATCCTGGCATTGTAAGTTGGAATCCGAGTCACATCACTTTGCTGACAGTGAATGGGATTCTGGTGGTGTACTACTGTTCCAGCACCACCAGTATAGGGTGGAGATAATTTGACAAGGCCCTCATGACTTCCAGCAAAACAGCAACTCTGTCCTGCAGCTTTCGTTTGGCAGAAAACCACCTGTAGGAGCCAGTCTACACTTCTGAATTCAGAACACATCGCTGAGTGTCTACACATTAATAACACAATTAACAATTTCAAAAATAAAATCCGTGATTCTAAATTCAAGACACTTTCCATTCCTGAACTAATAAAAAACAATATAAATATATTCAAACTTTTCAGCAGAAGTGAAAGTATTCATGAGGGGTCAGAATATTGCTAAATAGATCTTGGGGTCCAGAAAGGTGCCACATCCATGGGCCTCTGTCGTGGTGACAGAGGCAGAGCTCTTAAAATTGACAACTTTCTTGTATTTTTGTTGTTGCCATTTGACCAAACTTTACCCCAGCAATTCCAGACAACTAGGTACCATGAACAAACAAATGGAAGATTGTACAAACTCCACCCCACTTGATAGGGATATTCTGCAACAGAGTGGTTTCTTTTTGAAAGGGCTGGTAAAAAATCAGAAAGCAGCCTGATTTGTTCTTATGCAAAGAAGCGATGGAATAGAGAGACTGACCAACTGCTCAGTGGTTTTTATTCTTAATATAAATTTTAAACACTTGTAGGTTTGAAGAGTAGTATATTTTTCAAAAGTCTCATTTGCCTGTCTGTGCTTCCAGTCTATCGATCCTGGGCAGCAGTTCACATGGGAACACTCCAACCTTGAAGTCAACAAGCCCAAGAACCGCTACGCCAACGTGATCGCTTACGACCACTCGCGCGTCATCCTGGCTCCCATTGAAGGTGAGTGAACAGAAGGCAATAAGATAGGGAGGTAGTTACAGACCTTGGTGGTGCATTACTCAGTGTTGGAAAAGAGCCCAAGAAACTGAATAATCTTATTTTCATTTTAATGTTTTATTTATATTCCCTTTGCTAAGAGCAGAGTTTTAAACAGAAAACAGTTTAACACAGGGTTCTTTATCATGAGCTGTATTTTAAAAATGAAAAAATGATTTTTTTATACTATGACTAAAGTTTTCCAGCTCATAATAGCAGAAAAAGAAAGACAATTCACAGAAGGCATATCATTCATACATTAGTCTGCTCATTTTACACAGGAATGATTTCACAATTAGAAACTGCAACGGTGACTGTTCGACTAGGTGTGAATAAATAGAAAGGACTGTAAAATATGAGATCTGATTTAATGTAATTTTCTTCCTCTTGATTGCTGTTTTGCAGACATTCTTTGAAAGCATTTAGCTGTCTAATTACTATTCCATTGGTTAATGAGTCTCACAATTTAATTTCACCAGTTTGGAGGCAGCGCAATGACAGTTACAGAAAGTTTGGTTCAGTAGGAATGAATTGAATGTTAGGTTTACATGTGCACTCAACTTTTAATGATGTACAACCATTGGTTTGTATGGTTTATATAAAGAACAAGGTTTAAAATTAAGGAACTTCCATAAATTCTGTGACTCCTGATCAAGAAGATTCCTTGGCTTTGCATAACAGATGGAAAATGGGAAATAGGTCTGTCTCAGAAGTGGTCTCTCATAGTGACAGTTTTTAAATTTCTTTATGATGTGTTCTATGTATTAGACAGCGTATTGTTTTGTTTATAACATCCCATCAATGCTGGGAAAAGAAAATACACTATTCTCTTGGAAAGGGTTTGTGGACACATTTTCCCCCAAACCTAGGGAAATGCAAAGGGAGATGATAATGTAATTTATAAATAGATGACAACTACCCACAAATTGGCAGATTTGAAGGGGACATACAGTCAATATGTATACTATTTGTAGTAGCCAATTGACCCAAAGACATTGTCCATCAAATGGTTGGGCAGCTTATTTGTGACTCAATCTTTTGTGTACAAGTTAATTTGGCTAAATAGGATCTTTCCAAAACAGAGTTTTCATAATAGAAACATCCCTAACCTTGTAATTTTGTTTACATTTGTGCTGCTCTGTAGCAGAAAGTGTTTAGTAAAATAGTGTAGCCATACAGTGGCTCCGTCAAAGGGTTTGATACTGTGTAATTAGATCTTGAGGGAACAATAAAACAAGTGATTGCTGTCCCCAGTCTCCCCCTTTTCCATCCTCTAGTCTTGTGCAGAGGCTACTTTTCCCGTGATTTATTGGACTGGTTGTCTGATCTACACCATCAGAAAGAAAGATATAGTCTGGCGAAAGCGGCTTGCAGGCTCTTCAGCTGATTTACTCCAAGGCCTGAGTAATTCCATCTTGTAGCCCATTCCAAGAAATCTCTAAATCACAGCCTTCTCCTGCCACAGCCAGGGCTCAGGATGGCTGTTGGCTTTCAGGGGATCATTCCTGTGATGGATGTAGGCCACAGGCCTCGGTGTGATTTTACTGGACAAGAGAGAAATCAGCTGAAGCTGCCTGTGCGGCTGTCATCAGCCAGCCACCCACAAGCCTGCAAAACAGGAACGAGCAGAAACCATTCTGCACTGCAGATGGTGCCACAGCTGAAGACCGAATGTTGGGGAGCTGAGTGATGCCACAGCTTATTTGTTAAACCCCTTGTTTGTTAAGGAGTGCAGCTCATTTTGACACTCATTGAGACGATCAAGTTTAATGGAACTGAGAAGGTGTAGATAGATAATGCCTTTGAGCTGTAGTGATAATACAAGAGCTTTTACAAGCCACACACATTTTTAAGTGTGTAATTTTACAAGGTTTTTTTTGTTTTTCAATGTCAGGTGTGTTTTAGAACTTTTTAAAAAGCTAAGATATGTTTTAAGGACAATTTTAGAACTTAAAACAAATATATGAAGTAAAGATCTGTTGAATTTTTTAATACAAGTTATTTTATGTGTCGTAATAGTTGAGCTCAAATAAAAGTGACAGTCAGCATAATGCTTGCGTTTGGTTCATATTGAACAACTACCCGCTTTTAAAGTATTTTGATCAGTACTTCTCTATGGGTTTTAATTAAGTAATGTTCCAGGTGTATTTTTGTTCTTTGATAAATTCATATAATACGTTTTATCCAGGGCTTGAACTTTTCAGGTTTTAGTTGTGATCAAGTGATTTCTCATTAAACTTGTTTTGACCTAATTCTGTTATTTTAATGTAATTCCAAAAAGATGTTAATTACTAAACAGGGTCATTTGACTTAACCCCTGTATCTTACTTAAGCTTCTGATTCTGTTTCACCGTATGTTTAATTCAAACTTGGAGGTAATGAAATTAATTGTGCATTGCTGTTTGGATAATTGGCCACATTTCTAACATTATTTGTACCCACTAGTTTAACACGTAATATCCTAATAAATCATTTTTGACTTAAAATACTTAATATGTGTGTGAAGTGCATATAAATCACCAATCCACCATTTCACGTTTACATTTTTGAAGGAAAAACGCTCGGAGTAAAATAGCTCTGCTCTTAAAGGTTGTAAAAGAAAAATCGGTTACTGATAATGGCTTAAAAGGATGGAAACAGAAAAACTTCATGGTAATTACTGTATTACTGTGGCAAATTTTCCATAGTTCAGCATCCCTCAGCCTTTACCTATAAATGAGCACTTTCTTTGGATGAGCTGGATCAGTACAATTCCTCATGTGGACAAGCTCACGCGTTGAAAAACAAACAATGAGCTGCTACACGTACCAGGCGCTGCAAGTGTTTCACGAACAAACCAGTGGTCAGTTAATGAAACCTTTGTAAGTTCAAAACAAACATTTCATTTAAATCTAAAAAATTCTGCATTAGAAGCTGTAGTTTGTAATTGGCTGAAAATACTCACTGAAATACATATACAGAACATGCACAATATATTTATCTGTATTTAGCTAGGTTATCTAGACCAGTTTCTTGGTCTACTTTTGAAAATAGATGTCATTCTACGTTTTGTCTGCCAGGCATCGCCGGGAGCGACTACATCAATGCCAACTACATAGATGGATACCGCAAGCAGAATGCTTACATCGCTACCCAGGGTACCCTGCCAGAGACCTTCGGAGACTTCTGGAGGATGGTTTGGGAGCAGAGGTCTGCCACCATAGTTATGATGACCAGGCTAGAGGAGAAGTCAAGGGTAAGACTGTGAACAGAGAACCTGGCTGTAGTGGCTAATAAGGGATCAAGAGGTTATCATTCTAATTAGTTAATTACATTTCTGTGGCCCCTATGCTCCTGATGGATCCCAACTTGCTTTGCATATAGGAGGGGGCCTCACTGTATCCACCACTGAAGTAGAACTGCCTGGGTAACAGTGGACTTTAGCTAGCACACTGACGTTAATACCCCTATTATTACGAAAAGTGTCTTTTGGGACGTTTAAGAACTACATAGCGTTGGATTTACAGTCTCAACCAAAGGATGGGACCTGGGACAGTGTCATCTGGTCACCATACTGGGGTTTCACTGCTTTTCGGAAATTCTGCTTCAGAGACAAGAGTGCCACCTACTGGTCGATCAACACTATGTAAAGAGGTTACACAGAACATTCAGACTTAATTAATTAATAATAAATGCTTACACTTATAGAGCGCTTTTCTGGACACTGCTCAAAGCGCTTTACATGTAATGGGGACTCCCCTCCACCACCAGTGTGCAGCCCCACCTGGATGATGCTTTCGACTAAGTTCTACCTAGAATGCATGAGATTAAAATAAAACTACATACAAAAACAGATTTGTGTCTTGGCTTCACGGGTACGTTTGTCCATTTACTTCCCAGTGCTGCAAGTGTTAATACCCATTACTACCCATCAAGCCAGACTTCTGAATTTCCATCAAATGGTTGTTAATAAAGCCCATTTGAGATTTTGCATGTAAGAAAAAAACATTTTCTCACCAGTGCCTGGAACCCAAACTGTGATGTGGCTCAGAAGAGAATTTTATGGAAAATAAAAGACTGAAGGGCTGGGGGTGGGTGGTGCTGTTTTAAGACGGCTTTACTATCAATGCAGCGTTTTCTCCAGGTGTTCACTTGAGTGGATTTTTTTGTCCTCCAAGGAGTAGAGTTTAATGGACAGCTGGAGTACTGTTTTACTGAGTTTTTTGCCTATAGACATTGCAGTGCTTCAGAGGAATATGGAGACTTTTTCAGTGGAGTGCATTAAGAGGTTGTCACAAATAATCAGGGTGATGGGCTAGACCGAACGAGAACGAATGGCAAACAGTAAGCCTGTGCAGCCCAGTAATACCTGTCATCTTCAATCACTGCAAAGACAAGTGACACCAGCCCATACATATTGAAAGGATCTTAACTTTGTGGCTTTCTGGGTTTTCGCCTCTCAGGTATGTTTGAAGGGGACCTCTCACTGCTTGAAGGAAAATATTTTGCCAGTGTGATGAATAGCTCTATCAGTCAGGGATTTCAATTGACATTCATATTAGTATTTTTGGTGGTTATGTCAAGATTGCGAATTCTTCTTTTTTAGGTGTTGCAAATTCAGGACAAATTTTTAGGTGTGGCAAATTTCTTTTCTCATGATCTACTGTACAAAAACAACAAAAGTGTCATTGATGAAATTCACAGTTTTGGAAAATGCTAGAGACGGTAGCCTGACTACCATGTTTAGGAATTCCTTGTGCAGAAATACGTTTTTGTATTTTTGTATTAGAAAAATAAATTGTTTTTGAATAAAATTAATTCTGTAGGTAATGGGTGATGTATACAATATTCACAGATGTGTGAATATAAATCTGCTTGGAGAAAAGAAGATCCAAAATAAGTTTCTGACTTCTCATAGAATCATCAGAACTGCATTTCTCCGGTCCTAATCACATGCCTTCAATTTCACATCATGTTGTTCTTAGTGCTATTAAGGAATGGAGGTCCAGGACGGTGTTTGACAGTAACCAATTTTGTTTCCAGATAAAGTGCGACCAGTACTGGCCCAGCCGAGGGACAGAAACTTATGGCATGATCCAGGTGACGCTGCTGGACACGATTGAGCTGGCCACGTTCTGCGTGCGCACCTTCTCCCTGCACAAGGTAGGGCCGCAGACTAGACCCGGGTTTCTTTCGGTGGTTCCTGAGCAGTGTGAGCAACTGTCCGGGATCATACTCGCAAGCGTTCCCCTTAGCTTCGTGGTGCCACGTTTGTGTTGAGATCTTAGGCCTTCCGAGGTCATGCTTTTTCACAGACAAACACAACGCAGCTCTGCTGGGGGCTTCAACTCTCATACCATCTAAAAACTACACAGTAGTGTTTTCAGTAAAAATCTTATCACAGTACAAATGTACTGTTCAAAACTTCTGTTTTGAAGTTTGAGCTTTTTTCCCAAGCAAAGTATAATTCAGTGGATTTTAACAGAAAAAAAATAAATAATTTGTGTGATACCAGAATCACACTCTAGACAAACTGATGGCCATTTGATAAAGGAGGCACTAGCCACTGGTTTTCTCAGAGGATGTCTAAACATATTGTTTTATCTCAATATACAAAGAACATCTTTGCAGAATCTGGAAACATCTGGAAAATTATGCATGACTAGAGCAGTTTGCTGTTTCATGTTGTAATTATTTTGTTTGATTTTGCAAACCATCTTTTCTGTCAGAAACATTTGCACTGACTTGCACTATTGGGGCCACAATTTTTTTTTCTCGGGACATCTATTGAAAGGTTATAGATTTCCTCTAAAGGTTATAGAACTTTTCCTTTCAACTGTTTGAATTTTGTTAGGTTTATTTTTTTATTTTCTCTTTTATTTAAGAGTATAAGTCAACTAAGAACAAATTGTTATTTACAGTAATAATGTGGAGAACAATTTATCCTGCAACACATTTACTGGAGCAATATCAATCATTAACTCAATCTTTTATTTGCTATAGTGCCCTTCACAGCAGAGTGCTTTACAGATTTGTATTGCAGTTAGTGATATAACAACATTATGACCATGTGGGCTTGGAGGAAAGTACTACAAAATCTCCAGTGGGGGAACATATCCTTCTGGGGGTCCCAGGGCTGAGGGTTTCCCCTCCTCCAGGCAATCAGTTTGTGACACAATAATCATAATGAATCCAGGGTATTAAACGAGTGACATATCTTAGGAGTAGTTAGAGCTCTTTACCTGTGGCCAAAGGGGGGTGGGTTTATTTCCCCTTAATAAAGGAAGATGTGGTTTGTTGTTTGCGGGCTTTGCAAAAGTATCAGCAGGCACATTAGAGCTCATTAATTCATCATTAAGAATAAAGCATAAATGTACCTGCAAGATTTTTCATATTGTAAGATGTTTGTGTCTGAAGCATATTAATATTTTATCTTATGTTTTTGTTGTTTCTCAAAATTGTATTGCTTATTAGCAGACAGAAATGTCGAAGAAGGTTAATATAGAGGAGTCCAGTGACCTTGAGAACACTGCAGTCTTGCAGGGCACTGTAACATGTACAGCACATGCCCAGAAAGAAGACAGGGAGGTTATTGTGCAGAGAGGGTGGATTGTGTTTTCTCAGGAGATTCTCCAACATCAAATTATTATTATTTTTATTCTGTATACTCAGTCCATCATCTTTTAATGTCTAACTACCAGAGAAAGGCACTTAGCTAAGCTAGCGGAAGAAACTGCTGCACATAAAAGTGGTCCAGTATGTCTCTCACCAGCGGTCAAGCAAAAACATACCATCTGAAAAGATGCCTTGCAACAATTCTGAATGCATTAAGTTCTAAGTCAAATTACAGCTCTTCCAAATCATAACTACTGATTTAGTAAAGTAGTGGACTGAGGCAACATAACCACCACTAACGGTTACGTCCATAAAAATGGAGTGGTTGTCTGGGTGTTTTTAGCGCTTGTTAAGCTTTGACACTTCTTTGATCCTTAAATTTACACTCTACTGTTATTTTACACTGAAATTAGCACAGTCTGTCTGTTTCTGTTTATCTCCATTGACTTTTTTATGGTTACTTAAAGCTAGATCCCTTATTATTTCTGGTGAAACGCCCAGTTATTGTAAAGTGGAGCTTTCAGAAATCGCTGCATAAATCTAGAACATACATCAGTGTCTTGCCACAAAGACAAAATAAAAGTGTGTTGCTTTTTGTGTCAGATCAGGAGAGGTAATGCTAAAATGATTTGAAGTTCTACTGTGTCAGTATTTAAAAAAAAAGGTTATAGCAGTGCTTATAGTAGGAAACCTTCCTGAAGTAATCACCTTTACAGTCCTCTTTTGAATGCCTTTTGTCTGGAACAAAGAAGGTGAATAAGGCAATTAAAGTCCTGAAAGGCAAAAAATACGTCACCTCAGATGGCCAACTAAATTCTGTGATGCATAAGCCTATGTAAGCAGTTTGAGACAATGTGTTTTTATCTCAGTAGCCTGGTCAATTTCAGAGGTTTAAAGTTTTAAACAGGAAAGGTATTTGCAGATGTCTTTTTTTTCACCACCTTGTTTTGGGCAGGAGGCCCCACAACTCGTGGAACAGTACTGATTAAGTCTAAAACAAGCTTGTACTTTTGACAAAATAGGAAACACAAATATCAGTGAATACCCAAATAATTGAAGCCCCTGGGACATTTCAGAGGAGCTCTCTGATGGAAGTAGCGTGCTTTTGCATCATAAGAAGAGGTACAAAGCTACTAAGTTCTATCCACACAGTCCTTTGAATTTTCTGTAACATCTTAAGTCGCCATTTCTCCTTGTTAGATTTCATCTGGAAATGCACAGAATTCTTTACAGAGCAAAATCTCAGAAGAAGCAATTAACCTAAAAAAAACATTTAAAAGTTTGAACTTAAAGTCAGTAGAGTCCGTGGCTCACTGTAAGTGTTTATCAAATGCCATGACACCTTACCCATTTGACCTTCAGGCAGGAAAAAATAAATTGTATGACAATTCCCTAAAATCCGGCGTCTGACAAACTAGTGACAAAAACACTGTTGTGTCATTAAGATGCACATCAAACGGCAGACTAGTTAGAATGAGAAGTGAAACTGCTATAAAAGAACACAAGTGCCCATAAACTTGAAACTAGGTCAGTTTACTTTTAATTACAAGGTTTATTTATTCATTTATTCCAAAGCTCTCTTTTATCAGGAATGAAATAATGTACATTGAAATGCAAAATCTCCCTTTAAAAAGCTTCAAGGAATTAGGCGAAACCAGAGGGCAGGACAATATGATTTGGGCTATAGATGCTGTATTCTGTACAAAACAATTCAAAACATTCACAGTGCTTCATTCAAACCTTCAGTGCCTTACTTTTGCTTATTACAGTCCAGTGGAAATGTCTGTGGTTTTGCCAAATTGATTCATAGCTGAATAGTATATTGGATATTTTTCACAAGGGGGGTTGCAGAATGCCAGCAGTGACAATCCATTGTCCTACAAAGCATCAGATACCTAATATTCATAATTCTGTTAGACTGGCTACCAGTCAAGGGCCATATCCAGCAGTCCTCCTCAATCTCAGGAGATCTCAAATCCCCTGTTATTTCTAAACTACCATGCATTGCAATTCACTGAGTATCCCAGTAATTAAATCTATTTCCAGAGAAATCTTTGTGATTAGTCTATCCCTTTTGTAGTGAAATCTGTCATCCAGGCAGAATATATGCATAGGAAGATTGTTGTTCTAAACGGTGACCTCAGTTACACATTTGGAAAGTATAGAAAGGAAAGAATATATCAGTTTGCAAATCTATGTATATTTGGAAAGCAAGCCCCATGGAGATGGACTGGCAGATGTTCTCCTTCAATGTATCTTTTAGTTTTTCTTTTGACATTTATCCTGCCTCTCTGGGTGCTACGACATTGCAATCTGACCTTTTTCCTTCTGCATTAATTTTCCTCATTTCGAATTCTGTTTATTTCCTGCCTCAGCATTTTCTAGCATTTGCTATTTTTTTTTAAATTGGTAACACAGCCACACTGGTTTATGATATGTTTATAGAACTGTTCAGTTCACAAAAAAAATTATAATTATTGAGTTGCGGACGTTTGTGTGTTTTACTTTATTTGTGCAAGAGAGAGTGCAGCCTGGGGTCAAGCCCGTCACTTCCTGATTTGCTGCTCCTGGCGTGTTTTACAGAATGGCTCCAGCGAAAAGCGGGAGGTTCGACAGTTCCAGTTCACAGCGTGGCCAGATCACGGGGTACCAGAGTACCCCACCCCTTTCCTGGCTTTCCTGCGCCGGGTGAAAACCTGCAACCCCCCAGACGCAGGGCCCATCATCGTCCACTGCAGGTGAGTGGGGGGACCTGGGGCAGCGACCCACAGGCAGGACACCGCGGGAAATTCAGTTCCTGTCGAGACTTTCAGGATGACTTCAGCTGCTAGATCTTCTGCAACTTACTAGCCCCAAATTAGGAAGCTAATTTTCCTTTATTATTAAGTGCAAATATATTACTCCCTGCTTTCCCTACCTACATCTTCTTTTTATAGGTTGGTATCTTCAGACAATAACTTTTAGAAGAGGGGAGTCATTTATTTTTCTGTAGAGAGAAAAAAAAATCATGTTCTGACTTACATTTTCTTCTTGTTTTACACTAAAATACATTGAACAAATAGAAGTATTCTACTTGTGCTGGTGTTTGTTATTCTCTTCGGGCTTGGTAGTTTTTTATCTGCCCGGCACTCATGTGGTTCAGGCACATGGCAGACCGAGCTGGGACTCGGGGAAGGTGCTATTCTCCGGACATGCGGTGTCCTGACTCACTGGGGCTGCCCTTGTGTGTTGGCACAGTGCTGGTGTCGGCCGCACAGGCTGTTTCATCGTCATCGACGCCATGCTAGAGCGGATCAAGCATGAGAAGACGGTGGACATTTACGGCCACGTGACCCTGATGAGATCACAGAGGAACTACATGGTGCAGACAGAGGACCAGTACAGCTTCATTCATGACGCCCTCCTGGAAGCCGTGGCTTGTGGGAACACGGAAGTCGCGGCTCGCAGTCTCTACACCTACATTCAGAAACTTTCACAAATCGAAACAGGAGAGCATGTTACTGGCATGGAGCTGGAATTCAAGGTAATATGGTCAAGAGAGATACACGTTTTCCAGTCCAGTGTCCATTGCATATCAGTATAGGACTCCTGCACTGTCCAGCTGTTTCACTGGACACAGGTGTTCTAGGGTCTGAATAATTAGACACTTTGTAAGAGTGACTCATACAACCCAGTAGGGAGGAAAATATAAAGAAAAATATCCACAAACTCAAAATATTTCTATGAATAAAAACACTTTTAAACTAAACTTTTTACATTTACTTAAGAGTATTTCTCTTTATTTTGTGACTGCATTCTAATGCAAAATATAATTTCACTAAAATTGTATACACAGTGTAAAAGCATATATTCTCATTAATAAGGAGAAGTCCATACGTTTACAGTCCCTTTTCCAAAACTGTATTCAAATGTAACTGAATTATGCCAAAAGCATTTAGATCTGCTTTCTTGGGATTCATTAATATTTTTGGATCACAAAATCATTTTTGGTTTCAGTCTCTAAATTTTGACATATGTATAAATACAGTGGAATTACTGGGTGAAAAAATAATGGTATTGCTTTTCTTTGTGCCAATGAAAGTCAAGTTCAACAACAGTTTTTTTAGAATATTTTGGTTTGAAGTGGGGGCTGGTTTCTCTCTTCAAAACAGTAAAGAAATATGCAGTAGTATGCAATATGCAGGAGAAATTTTCATAATAGCCTGTCATTGATTTCTGTTTAATTCCTAAGTGAGATGGATGCAAAATTCCAATATAGGAGTTTTAAAAAGAAAATGTGTTAAGGTTGGAAGGCATCAGTATGACCTAGTTTCTAGCCACAGAGGAGTACAATCCAGGTCGATGATGTGGCAGGTAAAGAGAGGCTTGTGCCAGAGTTTACAGAATTTGTTTAATGTAGTTCCAGGTATTCCTGTGAAACTAAATCAAAAGAGATCCAGTGAGGTGGAATCAGTCCAGCTACATGCTCTGCTTATACTTGGAAAGAACACTACACTCCACTGAGGCCTAATATGGAAATGAAACACACAAAAAGGGGTGGTTAATACAGGTCTTGCTCAATAGCGTAGAACAGACAATGAAAGGAGACCATTTGTTCAGACTGCTGACCTAAAAACAGCTTTAAAGTCTTGATAGCCAAGAGTTGTCTGAATGGACCTTGATTGTCATTGTTCCATGTTGATATTTTTTTAGATTTCAGCCACAAAATAAGTATCCTGTTTTCATTTTAAAATCTGGATGTCTTTAGGTTTTGTTTGCTGAACGTTGCTGTTTAAAAAAATGGGAACTCCTATATATATATTCTATTTTTAACCTGCTATTAAAAGTCAATATTTGGAATCATTCAAAAATAAACTATTAATGAAACTAGGGTTGGGGAAATGAGGATGAGGATTGAGGATGAGGATTGTGCTCAGAGGCATCCACTGCTTTTCAAACTTCACATGCTGTCCATAGGGCATTTGGCAGTGATGTGAGAGAGAGATTGATTGACAAAAGTACAAGTGCCCAAGTTCCTAATAAGTCACTGTTACAAATCAAGCCAAAGATAACCTAGTTAACCACAGCCACTCCAGAATGAGTTCCTTGTTCATGTTCATTTAAGTATAATTCAGTGCTAGGCGAATCCTAGTCCCAGTCATCTAATAACAGTCTCAAACTCTCAGTTTTGTCCGGGGAAGTGCTTTCTCTCACGAGCCAAATTCGCATATGTCATTTTTCAGGTAATTGGTTGTAGTATGTAAACCAATGAGAGGTATGGGAGTACTGCGGCATTCTGAACACATCTGATGTCCCCATTTGTAACACAGAGAACTTAATGAGGTTCTGCAAAAATACAAAAATGAACTTTAGTACAGTACTGAATGTGGATTTCTGGTCGGCTCCAGGGATATAAGTAAGACTCTTATTGTAAGTAGCTGGAGCTATTTCAGGAATCATGAGCTGTCAGCTCTTATACAAAAGCCAGCACCAGGTGCTGAATATTTCATTGTTACTTTATTTGAAGACAACTTGCATAGACAGACACGCAGAGTTATATATAGTTTTCTCCTTCATCTGTATAATTTTGGCAAGAGCCTACAGCATGCTCAGCCTGCACTGGAGCCAGGTGCTTTGCAGTGAGAGTCCCGTTTCGGTCCCAGTTTGCTGCACTTGCATTTCACACTGACAGAACTGAAAACCCGCCCTGCCGTTTCCATTGTGTGGGAATGAAACAAAGGAAACACGTTACACCAAGTTCAGGTTGTTTTGTGTGTCGTCTTTGCAGCGCCTGGCCAACTCGAAAGCCCACACGTCCAGGTTCATAAGTGCCAACCTTCCCTGTAACAAATTCAAGAACCGCCTAGTCAACATCATGCCCTACGAGACCACTCGCGTGTGCCTGCAGCCAATCAGAGGGTTGGAGGGCTCCGACTACATTAACGCGAGCTTCATCGATGGATACAGGTAATCACTCTGTCTCTGCAGAAAAAGTTTAGTATAAAACTAAACCTCCATGTTGTGTTCTAAGAAGGTACAGACTGGACTAGAATCTACGTCTGAGAAAAAAGAAATGTTAAGTTGGTAGACGAAGCCTTGCTTTTTTGAATGTGAGTTGAAGCAGGCAGAGCAGCAGAGTTTTTTAAGCAGGCTAGGAAATGAGACATCCCACAATATTACACAGTAGCGCTGTGGTTATTATTGTTGCCATGCAGCACTGAGGCCCTGGGTTCAGTTCCTGGGTTGCTCTGTGCCTGGAGTTTGCCTGTTCTCCCTGTGTTTACATGGGTTGTCTCCAAGTGTCCAGTTTCCTCCATCAGTCTAAAGACATGGTGGTAGGTTAATTGGATAAGCGCATTAGAAAATGGATGGATGAATGAATGAATGATGGTTTTCAGAATGTCCTTTAACATGGGCAGGAGGGAAGCATAGCACTGAGGTATCTGGTCCCTGGTCTTATAACTGGTGAGTTGTAGTCCCCACTGAAGTTGTGTCCCCACAGGTGGTATACCCCAGTTGCTCCAGTTCACCCAGCTGTGTGAGTGGGGACCAGCATTGCTGGGATTAATCCCTGTGATGGACTGACCATCTTGGCTGGATGTCATGCCACGGAAACCGAGAACCAGGATAAGATCTGGTCTGGTGGGCGAGCGTGGCTTGGATATAGAAATGACCTGTCCTGTCTTCAATGCATAGGAATTATAGCTGTAGCTAGGACACTGACTGTCACACCAGCTGTGATTCCCAACTGGCTGGAGAGTGTGTGAAAGTTGTGTGAAAGCTTTACGTCTCCAGTAATTCATGTACTGTCTGTGCTCTACAGTACCTCAGACAGCATCCAGGAGGGTGAGGTTCGTGTTTGTTAATGTAATTCTGCAAGTGACAGATCTAGTCACCTAATTACACATATAAATGTAAAAACAAGTTTAAATTAGCCAAGCTGCTTATATTGGATGTTCTTACAGTATGTCCTTTGTGAATTCCTGTTGATTGTGTATTAAATCAAATTATGCATGTCTGCCCCATTTTTTGTTTGGGCTAAACTAACACCAGGGATGTAGGTTATTACAGGTCAGTATTCCTTAATTCAGTCCCTCTGTATTTATGCACCACTGTCACTTGCAGTGATAAAAAAAAATACACTGATCTGATTTTTTAAGAAATAATGTCTGTTTCATAAGAGTCAGTCAAGATTGTTGTTAGAATTTCATATCAGGCTTGGGTGTGAATGAGCACACACAGGCAGCGAGGCCTGGGTTATTAATTTGCTTAGCTTAGCCCTTATCCTGGCACAATGTGTTCTGTAATGTGGCTGTATTTTAGTAGGGTCTATCGCCACTATTCAAAACTTTTCTAGCCAAAATAAAATCTCAGGTAGCTGTTTAATAATGAGAAA